TTGCTATGTAGCTCAGGCTAGCCTTGAGCCTGCTTCCTTTCAAGTGTTGGCACTAAAGATGAGAGCTACCATACCCAGCTTTTTGTTTGGTTTGGTTTTTTGTTTTTGTTTTTCTTTTTTTTTTTTTTAAAGATTTATTTATTTATTATCTATACACAGTGTTCTGCTTGCTTGCATGTACCTGAACACCAGAAGAGGGCAGCAGATCTCATTACAGATGGTTGTGAACCACCATGTGGTTGCTGGGAATTGAACTCATGACTTCTGGAAGAGCAGCCAGTGCTCTTAACCTCTGAGCCACCTCTCCAGCCCCCGTTTTTTGTTTTTCAAGACAGGTTTCTCTGTGTAGTCCTGGCTGCCCTGGAACTCGCTCTGTAGACCAGGCTGGCCTTGAACTCACAGGGATCCGCCTGCCTCTGCCTCCCGAGTGCTGGAATTAAAGGTGTGTGCAAACACCTCCCTGCTCGTGTCCAGCTTTTTAAAAGATTTGAGACACGGTTTTCTTGTGCGGTCTAGGCTACCTTTAAACCTGTAATGCTCCTGCCTCAGACCCAGTTGGAACTTGGGGTGACAGATGTGCCCCACCACGTCCAGCTTTTATTATTTAGCAAAAAAGCAAAGAAAGACATTTTAATCATTAGGAAGTAGAACACAGGAAAAAGGTACAGGGAGTCAAGATTTTTAAAAGGGATATAAAGGAAAATAAAAAGATCCGGTGCCACCTCCCCCAAGTCCATCTTCAGGGTCCTGACATGGGGTTTAAGTTAAGAGAGCAAGAGGTATGTGTAGCTAAGCAGCCGGACATAGGCAAGGTGAGGTCCTGCCCATCACTGACCCATTAGCGTCTGGCTGGGTTCAACTCTGTCCTGCAAGGTGGTTTGACACATGATCAAGAACTGTGGGAAAAAGATGCAACAAAGAAAGAGAATTACAGACCAATCTCCCTCATGAACATTGATGCAAAGATACTCAACAAAACATTGGCAAACCGAATCCAAGAACACATCAAAAAAATTATCCACCATGACCAAGTAGGCTTCATCCCAGGGATGCAAGGATGGTTCAACATACGAAAATCTGTCAATGTAATCCACCATATAAACAAACTGAAAGGAAAAAACCACACGATCATCTCATTAGATGCTGAAAAGGCATTTGACAAAATCCAACACTCCTTCATGATAAAGGTCCTAGAGAGATCAGAAATAAAGGGAATATTCCTAAACATAATAAAGGTAATTTACAGCAAGTCAACAGCCAACATCAAATAAACGGAGAGAAACTCAAAGCGATTCCACTAAAATCAGGAACAAGACAAGGCTGTGCACTCTCCCCATATTTATTCAATATAGTACATGAAGTTCTAGCTACAGCAATAAGACAACAAAAGGAGATCAAAGGGATACAGATTGGAAAGGAAGAAGTCAAACTTTCACTATTTGCAGATGATATGATAATATACATAAGTGACCCCAAAAATTCAACCAGGGAATCCTACAACTGATAAACACCTTCAGTAAAGTGGCAGGATACAAGATCAACTCAAAAAAATCAGTAGCCCTCCTATACACAAATGATAAAAGGGCTGAGAAAGAAATCAGAAAAACATCACCCTTTACAATAGCCACAAATAATATGAAATACCTTGGGATAACACTAACTAAACAAAGTGAAGGGCCTTTTTGATAAGAACTTTAAATCTCTAAAGAAAGAAATTGAAGAAGATATCAGAAAATGGAAGGATCTCCCATGCTCATGGATAGGTAGGATTAACATAGTAAAAATGGCAATCTTACCAAAAGCAATCTACAGATTCAATGCAATCCCCATCAAAATCCCAACACAATTCTTCACAGACTTGGAAAGAAAAATACTCAACTTCATACAGAAAAACAAAAGACCCAGGATAGCTAAAAGAATCATGTATAATAAAACCACCTCTGGAGGCATCACCATCCCTGACCTCAAGCTCTACTATAGAGCTATAGTAATAAAAACAACTTGGTACTGGCATAAAAACCAACATACAGACCAATGGAAATGAATTGAAGACCCTGCCATTAATCCACACACATATGAACACCTGATTTTTGACAAAGAAGCCAAAACTATACAATGGAAAAAAGAAAGTATCTTCAACAAATGGTGCTGGCATAACTGGATGTCAATATGTAAAAGATTACAAATAGATCCATATCTGTCACCATGCACAAAACTCAAGTCCAAGTGGATCAAAGACCTCAACATAAATCCAGTTACACTGAACTTGATAGAAGAGAAAGTAGGAAGTACTCTTGAACACATTGGCACCGGAAACCACTTCCTAAATATAACACCAGCAGCACAGACACTGAGCACAACAATTAATAAATGGGACCTCTTGAAATTGAGAAGCTTTTATAGGGCAAAAGACGTGGTCAATAAGACAAAAAGACAGCCTACAGAATGGGAAAAGACCTTCACCAACGCCACATCTGACAGAGGACTGATCTCCAAAGTATATAAAGAACTCAAGAAACTAGACATCAAAATACTGAACAATCCAATTAAAAAATGGGCTAAAGAGCTAAACAGAGAATTCTCAACAAAAGAATCTCAAATGGCTGAAAGACATTTAAGGAAATGCTCAACATCCTTAGTCATCAGAGAAATGCAAATCAAAACAACTCTGAGATACCACCTTACACCTGTCAGAATGGCTAAGATCAAAAACACTAATGACAGTCTATGTTGGAGAGGATGTGGAGCAAAGGGAACACTCCTCCACTGTTGGTGGGAATGCAAACTTGTACAACCACTGTGGAAATCAGTATGGCGAATTCTCAGAAAATGGAGAAATGATCCACCTCAAGACCCAGCCATACCACTCTTGGGCATATACCCAAGGAATGCTCAGTAATACCACAAAGATATATGCTCAACTATGTTCATAGCAGCACTATTTGTAATAGCCAGAACCTGGAAACAGCCTAGACGCCCGTCAATTGAAGAATGGATAAGAAAATGTGGCACATATACACAATGGAGTACTACTCAGCAGAGAAAAACAATGACAGCATGAAGTTTCCAGGCAAATGGGTGGACTAGAAAATATCATCCTGAGTGAGGTAACCCAGATTCAGAAAGACAAACATGGTATGTACTCACTCGTAAGTGGATTCTAGATATAAAAAGCAAAGAACAATCAGACTGCAACCCACAGAACCAGGGAGGCTACATAGCAGGAGGGACCCTAGGATGACTGTGACTTATAATAAGTTTTGGTTTTACTCAATTACTGGGCAAGCCTCAATGAAACATTTCAATATTAGGATAAGAATTTATCTTGTATCAAGCTGATAATAGAAAAATAAATAAAAAAATAAAAATGAAGAAAAAAAGATTTTAAAAAAGAAAAAAAAAAAGAACTGTGTGAAATTTCAGCTGTGGCGGTGGTGGCGTACGCCTGTAATCCCAGCACTCGGGAGGCAGAGGCAGGTGGATCTCTGTGAGTTTGAGGCCAGCCTGGGCTACAGAGTGAGTTCCAGGAAAGGCGAAATGCTACACAGAGAAACCCTGTCTCGAAAAACCAAAAAAAGAAAAAAGAACTGTGTGAAATCTCAAACCAAGAGACAAGTTTCTTCACTGTCACCTCTGTGTGTGTGTGTGTGTGTGTGTGTGTGTGTGTGTGTGTGTGTGCGCGCGCGCGCGCGCAAAAGGAGATGTGTTGTACTTGGGAACTTGGAGGAGGTTAGAGAAATTCTCATTTAGAAGATGGTATCTATGCGCTGACAAGATGGCTCAGCATGTACACATACTCGCCACGCCCAGAACCCCTGAGTTCAATCCCCAGGATCTGCACTGCGGAAGGAAAGAAACTCCTGCAAGTTGTTCTCTGACACTCACAGCGCATGCCCAGGCGGCTAATAAATAAAATGTAATTTAAAAAGAAAAGGGCCTGAAGGGATGGCTCAGTGGTTGAGAGCACTGTTGCTCTCGCAGACGATCTGGGTTTGGTTTCCAGCACCCATAGAGTGGCTCACAGCCCTCCAAAGCTCTAGTACCAGGGGATCCGACTCCTTCTTCTGACCTATGACATAGTGCACACCTTTAATCCCAGCACTCGGGAGGCAGAGGCTGGTGGCTCTCTGAGTTCGAGGCCAGCCGGGAATACACAGAGAAACCCTGTCTCAAAAAACCAAAATAAATAAATAATAAAACGTGGTTAAAAAGAGGCACTGAGGGAGATAGGTCAGTTGATAAAGTGTGTTTTTTTTTTTTTTTTTTTTTTATTTTCTTGTTGGTGGCAGGCTGGTTTTTTTCTCTCGAGGCAATGTTCTCATATAGCCTAGGCTAGCCTATATGAGATTTATAGTAGCCAAGGATGATTTTTCTGCCTCTGCCTCCAGGGTGTGTCTGTGCACCTGAGTGCACAGGGTACAGGATCTCTTGGAGCTAGCATTACAGGCGATTGTAAGTTGCCTGATGTGGGAGGCTGGGAACCCAACCGATCTTGGGAGTCCTCTCCAAGATCAGAAAGCTCTCTTAACCGCTGAGCGGTCCCCCCAGCCCCTTAATGAATTTTTTAAAAACGCGTAATAGAGTCAGGCTAGAGTAGGGCCTCAAATGAATGGGAGAAGCTGTTTTTAGGTTTCTTGTGTTAAGTCTGGACACCAGTATTTTAATAAGTCCGTGTTTGTCGGGTACAATTACACCATTGTAACTGAAGGGCTCCTCAAGGCCTCCAATTTCTCTGTTTCTCCCCTAAATTCCGTTCACGGCTTGGACAACCAGGACCGAACCAGGAAGAGCTGACGTCCATGAGCTGGATCGATTCTCTCGGCTCTCTTCCTCCCACATTCTGTTCGCAGTCCTCGGCGGTCCCCAGCGATGCCTCGGGCACCGCCTCTCTCCGGAGCCCGCCCTCTCGCCGCCGCGCGCACGCGCCAACCTCCCGATTGGCGAGGTGACGGGCAGGCTCGGCCAATGGCGTCGCGGGGAAGGCGGGGCTCCAGGCTCACGCCCCCCCCCCCCCCCCGTTGAATATTCAGGAGGCGGCCGAGTGGACGCCCCAGCGAGCCGCCATGAAGTGAGAGGGGGGTCCGGGAAGAGCGGTCAGCGCTGCGGTGGGAGATGGGGCGGCCGGTGGGCGTCGCCGGGGCCGGGGCGCGGCGTGGAGAGGCTGCGGAGACCGGCCCGGGTGGCTTCGGGGTCCGTGGCGGGGAGATGCCGCGGGGGGCGGGCGGGCGGCACGGAGGCCGGGGCGGCCCGAGAGCACCGGGCACCGACGCTTCGCCGCCGCCGCCGCCAGGCTCAACGTGGACGGGCTGCTGGTCTATTTCCCGTACGACTACATCTACCCGGAGCAGTTCTCCTACATGCTGGAGCTGAAGCGCACTCTGGACGCCAAGGTGGGTGGCGGGGCCGCGGGCCGCTGCTCTCCTTGCTCGCCGCCCGTGGCTCCCTCGGGCTAACGTCCTGGTCGGGGGCCGGGCACGTTAGCCCAAAGCCTGCCATCCCAGCACCGGTGAAGCCCAGGCTGGAGCATCGCTGCGAGTTTTGAGGCCAGCCTGGGCTACATAGTGAGACCCTGTCTCAACAACAACAAAAATAAACAATAGAGCTGGGGGAATGGAGCTCAGTTGGTAGGGTGCTTGCCTAGCTGGTTTCGTCCCGGCACCGCATAAAATGAATACGGCAAATATGTCTATGATTCCAGCAGCAGGGAGGCTGGGGAAAGATTGAGCCGAGTTTGAAGGCCAGCCTGGCTTTCATAGTGAGTTCCAGGCCAGCTAGGGATATGTCTAGGGACACTCTTGTTTCCAAAAAATATCTAGATAATTTGGGGAGGGAGGGTTGTAGCTAGCTCAGTTGGTAGAATGTTTACCTAGCATAGTCGAATCCCAACACTGAATTAGCCCCGTGTGAGATGATGCATGCCTGTAACCCTACCCCTGGGGAGGCTGAGGCAGGAGAATCACTGGGAGTTTGCAGTCGGTCAGGGTGAGTTCCAGGCTAGCCAGGACTATATAGTAGGACCTTTAAAAATATAACAGTAGGAGGCCGGCAAGATGACCTAGTAGGTGCAGTGTTTGCTGTACAAGCATGGAGTTGATTACCAGGAACCCATGTAAAAGTGTAAGGAGAAAACCACCTCCACAAAGTTAGTTGACCTTTGACCTTGACATATGTACCCACAAACATACATCATACACACACACACACACACACACACACATATGCACACGCACGCACGCCTGATAATAGTAATAGCAGATTTGATATTAGAATCAAGGCTGAGTCTTCCCAGTCTTAGGGACATTGAGACCTTTTTTTGTCAGCCTGGCTTGGAAACCAGGGTCCATGGGCTTCTTGCTGTGCACTCTTGGGCACATCAGTCAAGCTCTTGCCACAGTTTCCACCCCATAAATGGTGGCTGTGCTTCTCTAGGGAGGCGCATTAGAGTTGTAGTTTGGTTGGTGCGCGTACCAGGCCCTGGTTTCATTTCCCGCACGTAAGCCTGATGATTCACGCCTGTAACTCAGAACGTGGAGGCAGGAGGATCAAAATTCATTCTCTGGTACCATAGTGTGTTGGGAGCCAGGCACGGTGGGGCATGCCTTGAATTACAGTACTCCAGAAGCAGAGGCAGAGGCAGAGGCAGAGGCAGAAGCAGGAGGAGCCCTGTGACTCTGTCTACAGCTTGGGCTACATATGGAGTTTCAGGACAGCCTGGGCTACATAGAGAGAGCCTGTTCCATAGAAAGAATTGAACCAGTGTGCTCGGTAAGTTCCTGTGCTTCCAGCTACATCACAGCCCTCTCTTTACCTTTTGTAATGCAATAGGAACTCACTCCACAGTCCAGGGGACACTGAATTTAACAACCCTCCTGCCTTGAAGAAGAGGAAGAAAACAGTAATGTGTTGGTGATCATCCTGGGGTATATGAGACTCTGCCTAAAAAGGAGACTCTGGAGAGGTGGCTCAGTGGTTAAGAAGGCTTACTGCCCTTCCAAAGGACCCCAGTTCGATTCCCAGTGCCCATATCTGCCACTCACAATGAGCTGTGACTTGAGCTCCAGGGGATCCGGCATCCTCTTCCTGATTCTGCAGGCACTGCATGCACATAGCATACACACACACACACACACACACACACACACACACACACACACACAAATTAATGTTCTTTAAGGTCGAGCTAGTGACAGCCTTTCTAAGTTGTAGTGAGGACTGTGCCAGTCCACACATGAAAGGCAGCAGTTTCCAACTCAGGCTGATTTTTTTGGTGGCGCGGGGGAGTTTGTTTTGTGTGTGTCTGTGCTAGGAATTCAACTGACATGCTGGGCAAAGTACCTGCACCTCGAGCTACATCCCAGCCCTCTTTCCTTTTTGTGTGAGACGGGACGTCACTAACTTACCCAGGCAGACACTGATCTTAGCAATCCTCCTGCCTTGGGTTCCTGGGTAGCTTGGGTGACAGCCTTTGACGAGCTGACTGGTGTTGACACGCAGAGGCTATTTGGCGTGTTTACAGTCACAGTGGTGGAGGGAAGGAGTTCAGTTGTGGAGGTCAGAGGACAGCTGTGTAACTTGGTTGTCTCATTTTTATGGGGTTCTGGGGTTCAGACTCAGGCCGTTAGGCTTGGTGGCGACCACTTTTACATGCCCAGCCATCTTGACAGCCCTGAACATGAACTTTAAAAAATTTTAACTGTATTTATTTAGAGTGTGTGTTTACATGTGTGTGCATGTGGAGGTCAGAGGACAGCTTCTGAGAGGCAGTCGGTTCTTCCATGTAGGTCCTGGGGATTGAACTCGGGCGATCAGGCATGGCCACAGTGCCTTTACCTGCTGAGCCGTCTCGACAGCCCACAATTCTATTGGTCCTTTCAATCTTTTTGTTTTGCTTCGTTCTTTTCAAGACAGAGTTTCTCTGTGTAGCCCTGGCTGTCCTGGAGCTCACTCTGTAAACCAGGCTGGTCTCGAACTCAGAGATCCACCTGCCTCTGCTCCTGAGTGCTGGGATTAAAGGCGTGCACTATCACTGCCCGGCAGCCCTCACAATCTTGCTTCAAGTAAGGTTATAGAGCCACATAGAAGCAAGGATGCTGTGACCCAGATGTGATGCAGAGAGGTAAAGGTTCTTTCCTTCTGCTGTTCAGCAAGGACACAGAAATAGGGCTCAGCCTGTAACCCTAGTACAGGAGGTGGAGGCAGGAGGATTGCCAAGAGTTCGAAGCCAGCTGGAGGTACATAGCAAGTACTAGACTAGCCAAGGCTGCATAGCAATATTCTTGGGGCGAAAATTAAGAATGAAGAATAAAAAAACTCTAGCAAAAAGGAGAATCGGAAATGAAGCCAGTTGTTCTGGGGGCCTTGATGGCAGTTCCACCATTGTGTGTGTTGTGTTCCCAGATAGTGGCGTATCAGCGAGGGTCCCCAGAGTTTATGTCCCTGAGGTTCTGAGAGCCTGTGTGTGCCCAACTTTCAGGGTCATGGAGTCCTGGAGATGCCCTCAGGCACCGGGAAGACAGTGTCCCTGCTGGCCCTGATCGTGGCCTACCAGAGGGTGAGTGACCGTCCTGAGTGCCTGGACTGGGAAGCGGGGAGGGGCTGGATGGGGCTGAGCTGATTGTCACCCACAGGCTTTTCCGCTGGAGGTGACCAAACTTATCTACTGCTCACGGACAGTGCCAGAGATCGAGAAGGTGGGCAGCGCAGATGGACCCTGCCCTCTGTCCCCTCCCCTGGGCCTGGGTGGTCCCCAGTTGCTGCCCTCGCTGGTCTGGTGGGCAGGAGCTTATGCTTGTCCTGAGGTCCCCACCCAGGGTTCCCATCGTCTAAGCAGGTCATAGAAGAACTTCGCAAGCTGCTCAGCTTCTATGAGCAGCAGGAGGGCGAGAGGCTGCCATTCCTGGGACTGGCTCTGAGCTCGAGAAAGAACCTGTGCATCCATCCCGAGGTGAGACCCGGCCCCCCCAGCCTTGGGCTACCCACTACAAGGCCCAGAGAAAAGCCTTGGCCAGTACGAAGTGACCAGCAATGGAACTCCTTTTTCAGTTGGTAGATCCTGGCTCATCCAAGATCAGAAACTGCCTGAGTGCTAGGGTGGTGCCTCACATTTGACCTTGTGGGGTAGGTCAAAGTCTAACTGGTAGCTTACTCGGAGTATTGGGATCTTTGTATACATGAAATGTAAGTTAACTTCATGGCCGCCTCGGGTCCTAGCTGACGGTATCCATTATATGTATGCAGGAATTCCAAAGCCCACAGGCGTCAGAACCCAAAACACAGCTGAGCCAAGGGCTAGTCAATGAAGACAGGGTTTCTTTGTCTTTCCTGGGCTCTCACTTGTAGACTCACTCTGTAGACCAGGCTGGCCCTTGCTGTGGAACGTCGTTCTGTATGCTGTGAATGTGTGTTGCTCAGATTGGTTGATAAATAAATCTGTTGGGCCAATGGTGAGGCAGAGTAAGGTTAGGCAGGACATTCCAGCTAGAGAGAGAGAGGAAGGAGAAGGGCAGAGCAGGGGGACGCTGCTCCACCAGGAGAAGCAGGATGTAAAGTACCAGTAAGCCACAAGCCACGTGGTAAAGTATAGATTTGTAGAAATGGGTTAATTTAAGATGTAAGAGCTAGCTAGCAAGAAGCCTGAGCCATTAGGCCATATAGTTTGAAAATAATATTGCCTCTGTGTGTTTGCTTGGGTCTGAGGGGCTGCAGGACCAGGTGGGACACAGGAAAATTTGAGCTACAGGCCCCAAACTCAGAGATCCCCCTGCCTCCGCCTCCTGAGTGCTGGGATTAAAGGCGTGCAGCACCACTGTCCAGCTTGATTTTTTTTTTTTTTTTAAGTTTTTTGAGACAGGGTTTCTCTGTGTAGTTTTGGTGCCTGTTCTGGATCTCACTCTGTAGACCAGGCTGGCCTCGAACTCACAGAGATCCTCCTGGCTCTGCCTCCCAAGTGCTGGGATTAAAGGCGGCTACCACTGCCTGGCGATTTTTTTTTTTCTTTTTTTAAGATTTATTTATTTATATTATGTATGAGTGCTCTATCTGCATGTACACCTTTATGCCAGAAGATGGCATCAGATCCCACTGTAGATGGTTGTGAGCCACCATGTGGTTGCTGGGAATTGAACTCAGGACCTGAATTCATCAGGACACTGAGCCACCTCTCTAGCCCTGTCTGGCTTGATTTTTAGAGAGCTTAGGTTTTTATTTTTTAAACATTTATATATTATTTGTGTGTATAAATTATTTGTGCGTGTGTGTGTGTGTGTGTGTGTGTGCGCGTGTGTGCGCGTGTGCGTGTGTGTGTGGGTGTGTGCATGCTGGGAAGTGGGGGCATGTGTCCCAGTGCATATGTATGGGTGAAAAGACAACTTGTGGGAGTCTGTTCTCTTCCACTGTGTGGATCCTAGGGAGTGCACTCAGATTATCGGGCACTGAGCCATCCAGCTGGTCCTCTGGTCGGTTACTATGATATGGATTGCCCCTAGAGCTTTGTGTGTGCTAGCAAGCACTCTGCCTACCCTTGAGACATACCCCCAGCTCCTTTCCACATTTTATTGTGAGGTAGGGCCTTGGTAAGTTGCCCAGGCTGGCCTGGGTATGCAGTCCTGCTTCAGCTGCCTGAGTCACTGGGATTACAGGCACACGCTGCCATGCCCAGCTCTAGTGACAGTTTTGAGTCTTAGCTGTGCTCCCACTCTGACATCCCTGCAGTGGTAAGTCCTTTTACCTAACAGTGAATCCGGTGAGGTTCGTTACCCAGAAACCCCAGCTGACATGCTATTGCTGGTGTCCGGGTTTGGAGACCCAGGTGGGCATAGCTGGCATGCACTGTCTGTGGTCTCTGTTGTAAGCTGTCCCCTGAACCCTCAGGTGACACCACTGCGCTTTGGGAAGGACGTGGATGGCAAGTGCCACAGCCTCACAGCCTCGTACGTGCGGGCACAGTACCAGCAGGACGCCAGCCTGCCTCACTGCCGCTTCTATGAGGTGCAGGGAAGGGCCCGGGCCGGGGAGGGCAGAGACGCTCTGGACAGCAGCTCTCCCTGACCTGCCATCCTCTGCCCTTGCCCCAGGAATTTGACACCCATGGACGCCAGGTGCCCCTCGCTGCGGGCATCTACAACCTGGACGACCTGAAGGCCCTGGGGCAGCGGCAGGGCTGGTGCCCTTACTTCCTGGCCCGATACTCGGTGAAGAGTTGTTTTGTTTTCTCCTGAGGCAGGATCTCATTTGTAGCCCAGGCTGGCCTCAAACTTGGAATAACCTTACCTCAGGTTCCCAGCTGTGGGGGTTGTAGGCATGAGCCACTGTGCCCACCCATCTGTCAGCCCATCTGTCTGCCTGCATCTTTGTTGACCTGGTGTCTTGGCCGTCTGTCTCCAGCCTGTGACCTCTGTTTATGTCCTGTCTGTCTGTGGTCCCCACTGAGGGCCGATCCTGTCTGTCTTTCCGTCCATCTGCTGTGTCTGTCTTTGTGTTACATCTATGGAGTGGTATGGCAGGGGGCAGCAGGGCCCCGAACAACCTTTCCCTCTGTGTGCCCAGATCCTGCATGCCAACGTGGTGGTTTACAGCTACCACTACCTCCTGGACCCCAAGATTGCGGACCTGGTGTCCAAAGAGCTGGCCCGCAAGGCTGTGGTGGTCTTCGATGAAGCCCACAACATCGGTGAGGAGGGTGCCAGCGTGTGCAGACAGTGGCAGCCCTCTGCCCCCGCTCCCCCCCGAAGCCCGGCTGAGCCCAGCTCTCTCCACTTTCCTCCCTAGACAATGTCTGCATCGACTCCATGAGTGTCAACCTCACCCGCAGGACTCTGGACCGCTGCCAGAGCAACTTAGACACCCTGCAGAAGACCGTGCTCAGGTGCCCACTCTGCTCCCTGTGCTGGGTCGGCCTCAGTGGCCCTAGATACCTGCTCCACTCCAGCTCCCATCTCGTGTCCCCATCAGGATCAAGGAGACGGATGAGCAGCGCCTGCGGGATGAGTACCGGCGTCTGGTGGAGGGGCTGCGGGAGGCCAGTGCAGCACGGGAGACGGATGCCCACCTGGCCAACCCTGTGCTGCCCGACGAAATACTGCAGGGTGAGCCATGTCCCACCCACCTCCGCCCCTCATACCCCTTCCTGTCCCGGTTGACTCGGTCTCCCTGCAGAGGCTGTACCAGGCTCCATCCGCACTGCTGAGCACTTCCTGGGCTTCCTGCGGCGACTGCTGGAGTACGTCAAGTGGCGGCTACGTGTGCAGCATGTGGTGCAGGAGAGTCCACCCGCCTTCCTGAGCGGCCTGGCCCAACGTGTGTGCATCCAACGCAAACCCCTCAGGTGCGGCCCGCAGTGGGACCACAGGTCCAGACTGTCGCTGCTGATAAGGGGGTCAGGTCAGAGCTGGATGTGGGGGAGCCCAGGGGACTCTGAGGTCGGTTGGCTGTGAGTGCTGCAGGACTACATGTGCTTCCTCAGCCGTGTGTGTGTGTGTGTGTGTGTGTGTGTGTGTGTGTGTGTGTGTGTAGGGGGCGTGCAGGTGACACAGCCTCTGTGAACCTGGGAAACGGTGTGGCTGTTCTTCTTTGAGCACTGGGGTCCATGACTGGCTTAGGGGGAGTGTGGCAGGGCAGAGGCAGGTGACGGTTGGCCATGGGTCTTGTGTCCCAAGAGTTTACATACAGGCGGTGAGTCTGTGTGCCATGCGGTAGTGCTCTGTACCATCCTGGAGTGGTAGCTCTGGGTGTCCTGCACAGTGTGGGGACAGGCCGACCACAGACATGCCCAGGTACCCAGGAAAACACGCGGCCAAGAGTCCATTGTTGCTTCCCTCTCCCGACCCCCATGGCTTCTCAGGTTCTGTGCTGAGCGGCTCCGCTCCCTGCTGCATACCTTGGAGATTGCTGACCTGGCCGACTTCTCCCCACTCACGCTCCTCGCCAACTTCGCCACTCTCGTCAGCACTTACGCCAAGGGTAAGCTCTCTTGCCTCCACGGGGCCTGACAGCAGGGCTTGGGGGCCCAGCCAAGTCGGGCGGGGTATTAGCAGGAGGTTTGGGCATGCAAGACTCTGGGAGTCTGAGCTATTTTGATGGCCCTGGGAGCTGTACAGTGTTCCTGAGTAAGCGAGCCCCCTGTTCAGATTCTTGTGTCCAGAGGTTCCATGTGGCTGCAGAGCGGAGAATGGAGTGGGCAGTGGGGTGACGCTGACCCGAGGGATGCTATGGGGTCAGCTCACCCGGGGCTGGGTGAGGAGGCCTCGTGTGTGACTGAGGGCACTGGGGAGCCATGGCAGGTTCTGAGCGAGGGATGTACTTAGTGAGATTATTGCTTTCACGGTTCATCTAGCAGGGAGAGAGAGGGCCATAGACTGTGGGGACAGGAAAGGGGGCTTGGGGAGAGCCTTGGGAGGAAGAGGCCAGGGTATAGGAGCATGGTGCTGGGCATGAAGGTCTTGAGGGAGAGGGATGTAGGCTGATGCAGAGGGAGACATTCTGGAGGCTTTTGCTTGGGTCTGTGCGCCCCCCCCCCCCCCCCCCCCCAGCTTTACACTGAGTTTCTAAGCTTATCCCTGGGGATTACTACCGTAGTCAGGAAACCAGGTCAGCTGGCATCCTGCAGTGGCTCAGCCTCGGAAGGAGGATACCCCATCGCCGCCGCCAGCCCCACCCCAGGGCTACTGGCAGCTGCCTGCTTCCTTCTGCGGTCAGCCCTCGCCCAGCCCGTTGGCCTTCCTTGTTCTCGCTCCCCCACCTACCGTCCATCACATTCTGGCTTGAACCTCCTTCCCTGCGCCCCCACCCCCTGCCGGAGTCCTTAGCTCTCAGAAAGCACCCCCACTCCGTGCTGGGCCTGCCCCGTCCTCTGTCCCGGCTGGGTCTCTGGATAGTTGTCTTCCCCCAGTGCAAGGGGAGCCCTTGTGGATGGGACCAAGGCTGTGTTGGTCACTGCTGAGTCCTCGGCACAGTTTCTTGCCAAGTGAAACAATCTGTGAATGTATTTGTTCAGTCAACAAATGGGCCAGGCCGGGCCGTGTGGAAACAGCAGGATCTAAGGCAGCCTCACCCCCCACCCCAATCTCACACACACACACACACACACACACACACACACACACACACACACACACACACACACATACACACCTGGCCCTGTGGAAATGGTAGGATCTAAAGCAGCCTCACCTGCCCCCCCATCCATTACACACACACACACACACACACACACACACACACACACACAGGAGTCACAGCCTTTCTGGAATGATCCTTGCTCCTAGCCCCCCAGGAGCAAAGATCATTCCAGAAGGTGATACTGGAAGTGTGGCCATGCTGCGGGGATCAGGCGCACCAGCCTCCCGGGGGGCCCTGGAGCAAGGGCTCCAACAACCAAGTGGGCCCTGGGGTGAAGCTGGCACCGCATCCCGGAGCAGGGGTGGCTGCACACAGGCCATGGCACACTTGTGGGTTATGGGAGGGGTGTGGAGACACCAGCCAACGTGAGGTGCCACAGCATCTCCCTGGCTGCGTGTGTGGAGCAGGGGCGAGAGGCGGGGTGCAGAGCTGCCTGGGGAAGGGCAGGCCTGGCCTCCCTGCAGGACCATGCAGTGAAGTCCTGAGTATTTGCACAGTCCAGTCACGCTCTAGCCCTGCAGAGAAGTGGGCAGGTTGGGGCTGTTGTGCACCCTGGTGCCTGGGTCTCACTTGGATGGTAAGCATCTGGGGTGACACACGGGCCATGTTGTGACCATGAGACTCACCAGCTGCCTCCTCCACCAGGCTTCACCATTATCATCGAGCCCTTTGATGACAGGACCCCCACCATTGCCAACCCCATCCTGCATTTCAGGTGAGATGCAACGCTGTGTGGACGGGATGGCCTTGACCCCGCCCTGCCCTATGTGACCTCTGTGTTGTCCTACAGCTGTATGGACGCCTCATTGGCCATCAAGCCTGTGTTTGAACGCTTCCAGTCTGTCATCATCACCTCTGGGGTGAGGACGCTGTGCTGTCCTGTGCTGTCGCTCCATGGGGGTCCCGGTCCCTACCCCGTCCTGCTGAAGGCTCCCTTGCTGTCTCTGTTGCAGACACTGTCCCCACTGGACATCTACCCCAAGATCCTGGACTTCCACCCTGTCACAATGGCAACCTTCACCATGACGCTAGCCCGAGTCTGCCTCTGCCCAATGGTGAGTGGGCGAGACAGGTGGGCTCTGCCCCCTGGCTTCTGTGTAGGCAGCCAGCCGCTCAGCTGAGGCTCAGGCCTGGTGGGTGCAGCAAGCCACCAGATGACGCCTGCATGGGAGGGCGTCGTGCTTAGGGACACCGCGCAGAGTGTGTACTGGTGCAGGGCAGGGCTGCTGCTCGGCCGCCATCTTGGTCAGGGTGGGTTGCCATTTGTCACCCAGCCGTGACTTGGGCAGTGAGCCTCCCCCTGAAGCTTCGGGCAGAGCTGTGTCCTCTCAGCCCCTGGCCTCTGCTTTGGAGCTTAGAGCCCAGCAGGTTGCTGGCCATGTTCACCCCACAGCCACAGGCAGCCAACTGTGGCTGGGGATGGTGCCTGGCATGAAAATCAGAAACTCTAAACCTTATGCAGGCTTTGTAGCCTGACTGTGTGCTTGTAGAGCAGGAACTTTGTAGAGGGCGGTGGGTGCCAGAGGCTGGGCCTGTGTGCAGGTGCAGGCCTCCACTCTCGCCAGCAGGGTTAGACGGTTGTTCTTAGAGCTGGGGACTGGCATGGTGGACCGGGGAGGGTTGCTAATGGGTGTGTGCTGCAGGTGACCTGTACTGCCTAAGGCTGGAGTGTAGCCTTGCTTAGGAGCACAGCGGTCCCTTCCCTGGGGCTTGTCGCTGTGTGACTGGAGGCTGGTGGCTCATGGCTGAGCACCAGGCATTTGCCTAAGCATAGGCCTAGGGCTGTCCAATCCACTGTCCACACAAGGCTTTCCTGAGCTTGGGCCTCATCTGGTCCGGTGCTTGCGTAGCACACAGCAGGCCTTGGGTTCCGTGCCCAGCAGTGCATGCCCGGTGTGGTGAGGCAGGCCTGTGATCTTGGGATGTAGGCAGGAGGACCAGGAGTTGTTCAGGAGCACCTTGGCTACACAGAACTTCAGAGGTTGGGGAACAGCCTTCTCATGGGCTTGCGAGGATGGATAGCCTCAGGGAGGCTCCTCGTCGAAAGGCCAGCCTGGGCTACATGAGACACCATCTCAAAAAGGGGGCGTTGGGCTATAAAGTGTGTCACACCACCTTCACGCTGACTCTTCCAGATCATTGGCCGTGGTAATGACCAGGTGGCCATCAGCTCCAAATTTGAGACCAGGGAAGACATTGGTGAGTCACCTGTGGGCCTGCTTGGGGTGGGCCTCAGGTGGGCGAGGGCCTGCGCCATAACGGGCCCCCAGCCTCTGTGGCTAACACGGGCCTCCCTCCCACCCTCAGCGGGTCACTGCGGGTTGGACTGCCCTGGGTCTCTTCACTCTGGGAGCTCGCCACCAGGCACACCACTGGGCCGCAGTACATAGCACAGGGCCCTTGGGACACGGGGCGCTGGCTTCTGAGTGTCGTCTGGAGAGACACAGCCACTTGTGCGTGTTTCTTGTGCTGTGATGTGTCATATGGCCACAATGAACCTGGGGGCGGGCAGCCCTCTGATGGCCTCGGGAGGGTGAATTGGTGTGGGTACGGATAAGGGTAAGGAGCCTCAGTGGGTGCCAGGGGGGGATCCAGTCTCTAACCCCCTCTCCCTAGCTGTAATCCGCAACTATGGCAACCTCCTGCTGGAGATGTCTGCTGTGGTCCCCGACGGTATTGTGGCCTTCTTCACCAGCTACCAGTACATGGAAAGCACTGTGGCCTCGTGGTATGAGCAGGTACGCCCAGCCACTGCCACCCAGACCCTCATCTCTGCTCTTCCTGTTGGGGCTCCACGCCCCATGTTTCCACTGGTCACACGCATCACAGGACAAGACAGTGGCGCCAACAGCACCCTGCCCCACCCCCACCAGAAGCCTGCAGGCTAGTCAGTGCCTCCCTCCGCTAGAGGGGACCCCCCTCTGGGCATGGGCTGAGCTGCTCCCCAGCAAGTAGGCCTGGTGCCAGGATGGGGAGGGGGCAGGGGCGGTGCTGGGAACATAAGGTTCCGGGGAGTTAGGCCGGACCAGAACTCCCGCTCCAGGAGCTCTGGAGTGTGTGGATGAGACCGTGGGGGTTCTGGTGTCCTTCTGTCTTGTGACTGCAGTGAGCCCAGCTCTCAGGCCTAGGTTCGAACAGGCACCGAAGACTGGGTGTGGCTCAGGCAGGTACCTAGTGTGGACTTCCCCAGTGAGGGGCTGTAGGTTTAGTTAAGTGGTAGAGCATGTGTGTAACATGTACAGGCCGTTGTCACAGTCGATTCCTAGTACTGAAAAAAAAGGAGACCTGCCAGCCTGAGGGCTTGGGCCGGCAGGGTCTTGGCTGTGTCTATGAGGCACGTGGGACTCATCTTCTGAACTCGGTGAGGTGTCTGTTGTAAAGAGCTCTGCTCACCGAGCTGCCCAAGTTACCCTGGCTGGTGCCTCTGGACCCCGTGTCTTGGCCCGGTGGGTGCCCTGACTTGTGTCTCAGTTCCTTATCATTGCAGTGACAGGTTTGAACTCAGGATAACCCCTGGTTGGTCCTGCCTGGATTACGGTCAGGCCCTCCACCTCCACTGGCCCCTTTGGGCCCCATGCCCACCTTCTTGGGTGGTGATCAGCTCCCCACTTTGGACTGCCAAAGAGGCTGGACAGCTGGGGTCCAGAGAAGGACCTCCATGGGAGGTCACAGCAGTGGGGCAGAAACAGGAGTGTCGGGCCTGTGTGGCCCGGTGTCCCAACCCCTGTCACCCCCAGGGCATCCTTGAGAACATCCAGAGGAACAAGCTGCTCTTCATTGAGACCCAGGACGGGGCGGAGACCAGTGTGGCCCTGGAGAAGTACCAAGAGGTGGGTGCCTGGGACAGGCAGGGGATGCCAGCTGCCTGCAGAGCGGGAAAGGGCTGAGGAGTGACTGCCTGCCTCCACCTCCCTAGGCATGCGAGAACGGCCGGGGGGCCATTCTGCTCTCAGTGGCTCGGGGCAAAGTGTCAGAAGGGATTGACTTTGGTGAGTGGACCCGGCTCTTAGCCCAGAGGCCCACCCACCCTACCGTGGCTGCTCCCTTGGGGACCATGGGCATGCAGAGGGACCCCGTCTCCTTTCCGTACCCTGGGGCAACCCTAAGCACACACCCTGGCACCGGCCGAGAATGTAACCCTGCTGTCCTGCCCCAGTGCACCACTACGGGCGGGCTGTGATCATGTTTGGCGTCCCCTATGTCTACACCCAGAGCCGGATTCTCAAGGTGAGTGGGGAAGCAGTGGTGTGTGTGTGTGGGGGGGGGGGGGATGAGGGAAGGGCTGGCTCTCCTCTACCTTAGATCCTCCCTCACCCCCAGGCCCGGCTAGAGTACCTGCGGGACCAGTTCCAGATCCGCGAGAATGACTTCCTCACCTTTGACGCTATGCGCCATGCAGCCCAGTGTGTGGGCCGTGCCATCAGGGGCAAGACAGACTATGGGCTCATGGTCTTCGCCGACAAGGTGGGGCTCAGGGCCTCGGGGACCCCCAGCCAGTCCCACCTCCTCACAGGGAGGGGTGGTGGGCAGCCTGGCTTCCAACCGGGGGTTTGCTGTGCTCCCCTCCCTCCTCACAGCGGTTCGCTCGGGCCGACAAGCGTGGCAAGCTGCCTCGATGGATCCAGGAGCACCTGACGGACTCCAACCTCAATCTGACGGTGGACGAGGGCGTGCAGGTTGCCAAGTACTTCCTGCGGCAGATGGCGCAGCCTTTCCACCAGGTAAGCCCTTGGCCCCGCCCCTTCTCCCTCCTTCCCGGGGGCGCACACTTTTCCTAGTCACCCCAGGGTCCCCAAGTCCAGGAAGTAAGGGAGAGTGGACAGCCCGGGGGCACTGATGAGACAGCCCTGGCGCCCTTCCCCTAGTCTGGCCATGCACTCCAGTCTCCGGACACTCAGGGTCAATGTGACACCCTGTCCTTTACCCCCGCCTCCCAGGAAGATCAGCTGGGCCTGTCACTGCTCAGTCTGGAGCAGCTGCAGTCGGAGGAGACGCTACAGCGCATCGAGCAGATCGCACAGCACCTCTGAACACAGGACTGCAGTGACACCTGTGGCTCCCCAGGGGGTGCTGGAAGGTCCCCGCACCCTCAGGCGAACACCCAGTCCACTGTACAGCCTTTAATTGCAGGGAGGGGACAGCAGGATCCCGATCCACAGGTGCCACCCAGGCAGGGTGCCCGATAGCCACCCACCCCCCTTCCCGATTCCTGAGCAGCGGCGGCCACTGCAGCCAGTCCACTTAGCGTGGGCTCAAGTCCTGGGTGCTGGCGCTGAGGGTCCGAGGGGCCTCGCTCAGGGGCCGCGTTGAGAGCTGGGGGCAGGCACAGGAGTGGTTGGAGTCCTTCCCCAGTTGACACTGGGGCCATGCCATCTCCTGCCCGCCCACTCGCCCCCATCTTGAGTCCCCAGGAGGAAGGCCCACCTTCCCCGTGCTGCTGAGCCCGCCAGCAGCTCCCTGCTCCGCCACTGGCCCCTCACCTGCATCCTGGCAGCCCTTGGACCGTCCATGTTGAGCATGTTGAGTGACACGGCCCTTTTCATCCTTCAGAGGAGGATGGGAGGGAGTGAGGAAGGGCTGCAGCCTGCCTGGCTCTGACTGCCCTCATGGAGAGAGGCACCAGGAAGGCTGACAGGCAGCTGACCTCGCCCAGCACTCACCCGGCAGCCCCTGCCGTGCCCTCCCCTCGGAGGCGGGAGACCAGCTTCTCACTGCCCCGCCGGATGGACTCGCGGAACTTGGAGAAGGAGCTGCTCCTGCGCAGGACCTGGGGAGGGCACAGGGACATGTGGGGACACGGTGGGGCCCACCCAGGCCGGGCCCCACGGGGACCCCAGTGGAGCCTGCTTACCTGCTGCTGTATGTCACCCGCTGTGCCTGCGTGGGGGGCTCCTGTGGAACAGAGGGGACACGGAGGTGGGGTGACGGACGCCACACAGAGGGCGGCGGGAGGAAGGAGGGGTGGGCTCACCAAGTGGGGCGGGCAGAGCCTCCTGGCTGAGGATCTCCTTGTACAACTCCTCTGCCTGCTGGTACTTGTTCTGTTTCAGGTAGGCCGAGGCCTGCGGGGAGGGCAGGGGCAGGGCGTGGGCATCTTGCTTAGGCCTGGGAACTTCTCAGACCCGCCCGCCTGCCCCAGCATCCTGCCTTAGCTGACTACAGTGCAGACCCACCATCCCAGAAAACCAGGCTGCCCCAGCCCCTGCTCCACCTTGTGCCTCGGACTCCTACCTCAATGCCTGAAATGTCGGGGGGCATTTGCTGTGACAATAAAGCCTGACATGCTACTGTAAACTGGAGTTTGCTCCTGGTTTTCTGTACTGAAGGACTGCAGGAGCCTGAGGTCCCCCTGCCCACAGTGCCCCCAGGACAGGACCCATCCGTGCCTTACCAGGTTGTTCTTGGTCTTGGCTACGTTGGTGTCATGTGGCCCCCCCAGGGCCTCGTAGATGCTCAGGGCCCGCGCGTAGTGCCGTTCCACATCCTGGAACTTGCCCTGGTTCTGGCAGAGCAAGGCCAGGTTGTTGAGCTGCTTGGCCACATCAGGGTGGTCGGCACCCAGGACCTGGGGTGCACACAAACCATCTGTCACATAGGGTGGCCCGTGAGATGCCACAGTCACACCAGGGTCGCGGGTTGGGAATGTAGTAACAAAGTGGAAATTAACATGGCGGGTGGGAATCAGCAAGGCCAGAGGTCATCAGCTTAGGGGTATGAAGTGGGTCAGGAGGTCAAAGTCAGGATTGCACTGTAAGCTCATCAGGGTGGGGGATCATGAGATTGGGTGCTCCCGGCTCAAGTGGGAGGGCCTGCCACCAAACGCAAGGTACACCAGGATTATGGCTCGTGGTACCAGTGACAAGGCAAAGGGTGGGTGCAGCACCTTCTCACGGATCTCCAGGGCACGTTGGCATAGGGGCTCTGCCTCCCGGTAACGGCCACGTTTCCCATAGAGGACAGCCAGGTTGTTGAGGGTAGCAGCCACCTGCAGGGGGAGAGTGGGCAGAGGAGGAAGGCCACGCAACATCCCCCAAGCCCACCCTCCCGGCATGGCTGCTCACTGCAGGATGTTCAGGACCCAGTGTCTGCTCCCGGATTTGTAGGGCGTCGTGAAGAAGGTCCGTGGCCTCCTTGTACTTGTTCTGGTCCCTGGGATGAAAGGCTGGTTTAAGCCAGGGTCACAGGCTGGACTAGCCAGGAATGACTGGTATCTTTCAGGGGACCTCCTTGTCTTCCCACACGGCCAAATCTGTCAAGCATCGGGTCTCCTGTCCCTTGCCCACCCTGGTGCCCCATGCTCTGGGTCTCACCACCTCCCCAGACCTCTGTTCCTTCCGTTGTCCCTCGCTCCCATTCTGTTCCCACCCAGGTGCCTTATCTGGCCAGAGGATCGCCAGGGTACCCCACTACCACAGCCGGGGCCCCTCCAATCAGCCACAACCCTCACCTGTATACCAGTGCCAGGATGTTAAGCATAGTGGCCACGTCAGGATGGCAGTGGCCCGAACTCCGCTCCAGGTCCTCCAAGGCCTGGCGACATAGGGGCACCGCTACCTCGTAGCGGCCCTGGCCGGCGTACTGGATCACCAGGTTGTGCAGGGTCCGCAGGCGAGCTGGGATCTCATAACCACCCTGCTGTGCTGCTGCAGCTCCGGCTGCCTCGGGGCCTGGGGGAGGTGGTGTGGAGTTCCGCAGCCTGCACCCCACAGCCTGCACCCCACAGCCTGCACCCCACAGCCACCTCTGGCACTAGGGCCCTGTGCTGTCATCGGACACAGGGATTATAGGAATCTAACCGGCCAGTGGGATGTGCCAGAACCGAGCCTGCCTCAGTCACAGACTGCCTAACTTCCAGCTTCTAACCTCCGGCTAACCAGGGCCACCTGCTTCATCTTCCAGACCCTGCCCCCCCCCTCCCCTCCCCGTGCCCTGTGCCCTGCTCAGAGGCCTTGGCGTCCCTCCGGTTAAGGCTCCCGCCCCAGGCTTAGCTTGTAGTCCTTTGTGACTACCCTCTGATATCATGCCCAGGGCTCCCACACACCCACCTTTCCTTTCCTCCTCTTCACTGGGGAACAGAGAAGCCAGGCTGTCTCGGCGAGGGGGGGACTCGGGCCTCTGCGGGGAACAGGAAAGAGTAATTCCCGGAACGGCAAGTGTCAGTGCCCTGAAGCTAATTCCGGCCTGCCTGGGTTGCTCTCTGTCATCTAGGGCAGGGGCTCGCTCACTCTGTAGCCCAGGCTGGCCTTGAACTCACAAGAGATGCGCCTGCCTCTGCCTCCAGAGTGCTGGGATTAAAGGCGTGCACCACCACGCCAGGCTTCAGGACTGGTTTTGTTTATAAGCATCTCATTATGTAGCCCAGGCTGACCTCAAACTCACAGAATCCTCCAGCCTCCGCTACACTAGCTCTGAGTTCGAAGAGCTGTGGGGTCAGCCTGAGAGGTTTCAGTGGGCTGGGGAAGAAGACCCAGGAGCTTGAGGGAGCACTGAGGGGGCTTTGGGGATCCCACAGGTGCTTGAAGGCCTGAGGGTATCCGGGGGCTCTGTGAAGGACTGTACCCCCTCCTCACCCGGCCCCTGGTACCTGGCTCTCCTCGGGTGGATCATACTGCCGCAGCTGACCCAGGAACTCGAGGTGGCTCTTCTCCTCCTCCAGCTGGGCCACAGCCTCCTCACTGGCGCGCAGACGCCTCTGCGTCTCCTCCAGCTCCTCTCGAAGCCACGTGTTCTCTTGGGCTAGCCTCCGCGCCTGCGCCCGCAGCCTCTGCTTCTCAGCCTCTAGCACACCCACATGTGCGGACAGGGCCAGCAGCACCTGAGAGGCATCGGGACCATGAGGAGGACAGCCCCAGCCCCAGCCCAGGCTTTACATCAGGCCAGATACACCCAGTCTACACAGGTTCCCCCAGATTCTGAAGATAGCCCACAGTGCAGCTCTGATAATAAGAGTTTTCCAGCAACCCCTGATTTCACCCAAAATATGCATACGGTTAATTACTATTCCATCTACTTAACCCAGCACCTGCCTAAAATCCACCTGTAAGTTAACAGGGGCATGGCTCAGGAGTAAAGGCCCTGCCTAGAATCCCCCAGTGAGGGGCTGGGGGTGTGGCTCAGGAGTAAAGGCCCTGCCTAGAATCCCCCAGTGAGGGGCTGGGGGTGTGGCTCAGTGGTAGAGCCCCTGCCTAGAATCCCCCAGTGAGGGGCTGGGGGTGTGTCTCAGTGGTAGAGCCCCTGCCTAGAATCCCCCAGTGAGGGGCTGGGGTGTGGCTCAGTGGTAGAGCCCCTGCCTAGAATCCTCCAGTGATGGGCTGGGGGTGTGGCTCAGTGGTAGAGCCCCTGCCTAGACTCCCCAATGAGGGGCTGGGGGCGTGGCTCAGTGGTAGAGCCCCTGCCTAGAATCCCCCAGTGAGGGGCTGGGGTGTGGCTCAGTGGTAGAGCCCCTGCCTAGAATCCCCCAGTGAGGGGCTGGGGTGTGTCTCAGTGGTAGAGCCCCTGCCTAGAATCCCCCAGTGAGAGGCTGGGGGTGTGGCTCAGTGGCAGAGCCCCTGCCTACCATGAGCAAAACCCAGGGGTCCATTCATAATGAAAACTTCAAACTCCCTCCAGGACCGAGTTCTACAGGAGGACCACATCTGGCACACGTAAAATCTCATCCCTGATGCTTCCTAGGGAATCTCTCTGCCCTGCAGTCCCTCCTTCCAGGCCTGGTCCCTTCAGACCTCCTACTACCTACACCTCCTCCCCTGTATTATGATCCCCTCATCCCTGGGCCTCCTCCACCAGGCCTGACCCTACACACACACACACACACACACACACACACACACACACACACATACACACACACACATACCGCATCCCTGGCCCTTCTCCTGGGCCTCCCCCACCAGGCCTGATCACACACACACACACACACACACACACACACACACACACACCCCCTCATCCCTGGTCCTTCTCCTGGGCCTCCTCCACCAGGCCTGATCACACACACACACACACACACACACACACACACACACACACACACACACCCCGCATCCCTGGTCCTTCTCCTGGGCCTCCCCCACCAGGCCTGATCACACACACACACACACACACACATACACACACACACACCCCTCATCCCTGGTCCTTCTCCTGGGCCTCCTCCACCAGGCCTGACCCTACACACACACACACACACACACACACACACACACATACCGCATCCCTGGTCCTTCTCCTGGGCCTCCCCCACCAGGCCTGATCACACACACACACACACACACACACACACACACACACACACACACACCCCTCATCCCTGGTCCTTCTCCTGGGCCTCCTCCACCAGGCCTGATCACACACACACACACACACACACACACACACACACACACACACACCCCGCATCCTTGGTCCTTCTCCTGGGCCTCCCCCACCAGGCCTGATCACACACACACACACACACACACACACACACACACACACACACACACCCCGCATCCCTGGTCTTTCTCCCGCCCAGGCCCACGCTCGCCCTCCTGGTCCCACATACCTGGGCCTCGCCCAGCCCCAGCTCGATGGCCTCCAGTGAGTGGCTCACCACCTGTTGCTTCTCTTCCAGCAGCTCCGCTCCAGCCACGGGACCCGGCCCAGCCAGGGCCTCGGCCAGGTGCCCGGCGAGACTGTAGTGCTCAGCCCGCAGGGCCTCCAGCCCCTGGACCACCTGTCGTGTCTGCCGCACCAGCTCCTCGGGGTTCAGGCGCTCTGGGCCCAGCCCTGTGCTTCCCGGGGCTGCCACCTGCACAGACATGGCTGTTCCTGGGGGGCAGTGAGGTTGGAGGAGTCACCATCTGGGATTCACAGCTTCTCTTCGTTCCAACCATCCCCCTGCCCACCCATCCTGGCTAGCTCCCTTGCCCGAGCCCTTTCCATCCCAGCAGCCTGCCTCGGGGAGCATTCTCCTCTACCTTTGTAAACCCAGGGCTCTACCCTGAGGGCAACTCTAAACTGTGCGGAGTTAGCTGCGAGGACGAACAGCTGGCTTCCAGGGCCCCCTCCACCCCGCTGCACTCCGCTCACCTGGCCCGGCCCCCCCACCCAGGTCCCCAGACACCCTAGCTCAGAGCTCCCAGCCTGCTGAGCGCCCTGGGACCGGAGGCGCCACCTCTGCCAGGCTGGGAGGCGGGGCGTGTGGAGGCGGCAGGCTCCCGGTGAGCTCATTCTTAGGGTGTTTTTGTCAGGAACCAGTCAGGCCACTGGGGGGGGCGATGAGGGATGGAACCCTGAAAGCAGAGAAGTAGAGCATAGGGCCTGGAGGCGGGGTGGGGTGGTGAATGTCTGAGAGGGACCTGAAAGTTGGCTCCTCTTGGCAAGACCTGGAGGGACCGGGACCAGGGGTCCCGACCACAGCAGCCAAGCTCCAACAGCCTAGGGTTTTGATGAGACACACCTAAGGATAGCCATGGCTCACGGAGGGCAGTGGCCGTGTGATACGTGAACATCCGAAGCTGGTAAGGGGTGAGGGTCCCCCACGTGGGGTTTTGTGTGTTTATATACGTGCGTAACAGAGTCAGAGGCATAGACGGTGAATCTCGTAGACACACAGCACTCAAGCACGCCTCGGGAAACACACACACAACTGTCTCTCCATCCTTTTTTATTTATTCTTTGTCAGACAGGGTCTCACTATGTAGCCCAGGCTGGTCTAGAACTCACAGCAATCCACCTGTCTCTGCCTCCAGAGTGATAGGATTAGAGGGATGTGCCACCACACCTAGCCTTTTTAAAACTTTTTTGAAGTTGGGTCTTCCGTCTCCAGACTGGCCTTGACCTTGCTATATGGTTGAGGATGGCCTTAAACAACACGCATCACCACACTCCGTGTATGGGGTCCTGGGGATGAACCCGGGTCCTGGACATGCTATGCACACCCAGGGTGGGCATGCTAGGCAAGCACTCTTATCAACCGAGCCCCAGCCCAGGCCCTTCTTAAAGACGATGGCAGACAGAATCCCATCTCAGACACGGCTCAACACACGCAACTCCCTTGTTTCACACGCCCCCGCACCCTCTCTAAACAAACACGCATACGTGTATTACCTCATTAGAAACACAACACAATAGAAGACACAACAACAGAAAAGAAAGACAGCACGATGTACTTATTTCTCATCTTAGAAACACAAAACGCACCGCACTTTCCCCTTTTCAAAACACAGCTCAGAGCCAGGTGTGGTAGCATATACCTGCAATGCTGGCACTGGAGCCTGAGGCAGGAGGATCATGGTTGAGTAAGCTATGAACTCTGCTTTTAAAAAGAAAATCTAGGGGCTGGAGAGATGGCTCAGTGGTTAGGAGCCTTTGCTGCTCTTGTAGAGGACCATATGGTGGCTCCCAACCACACCTCCAGTTCCAGAGGATCTCGCCCTCTTCTGGGCATTGCACACGCATGGTCCACATACATGCACGCAGACAAACATTCATGTACATAAAAGAAAATAAATCTTAAGAGAAAAGGTGGATGCTGGTAAGGGGTGGCCAAGCATGGCCAAGGCCCTGGGCTCCATCCCTTGTACAAAAAGGAAAAAAAAAAAGTTGAGGCATGGGCATGTGTTGCAGACTGAGCTCTCCAGAGGCAGAAGATCAGGAGTTCAAAGCCATCCATGGCTAAAGCTTCCTGCCTCCAGCTCTCAAGTGCTGGCTACAGGCAGACAGCACCGTTCCAGGGCTCTGCTTTTACACAGGGTCTCATGCAGCTCAAGCCGGCCTCAAAATCACTATGTAGGGGATGGAGAGGTGGCTCAGAGGTTAAGAGCACTGGCTGAACCCTCTTAATTCAGGGGTCCTGAATTCTATTCCCAGCAACCACATGGTGGCTCACAACCATCTATAATGAGATTTGGTGGCATGCATACATGCCAGAAGACTGTACATATAATAAATAAATCTTTTTTTTTTTTAAATCACTATGCAGCCTAGACTGGCCTCATGGTAGAACCTTCACACCACAACTGGTTTTTTGTTTTGTTTTGTTTTGTTTTTTTGTTTTTTCGAGACAGGGTTTCTCTGTGTAGCTTTGCGCCTTTCCTGGAACTCACTCTGTAGACCAGGCTGGCCTCGAACTCACAGAGATCTGCCTGCCTCTGCCTAGTCCCCCCCCCCTTTTTTTTTGGTTCACACTACAACTGCTAAGATGACAGGTATGCCCCAATCCCTGGCTGTCCTGGATCTCACTCTGTAGACCAGGCTGGCCTCGAACTCCCAGAGATCCGCCTCCCGAGTGCTGGGAGTAAAGTTGTGCATCACCACCACCTGGATTAATATATATAATTTTAAAAGAGATAATCCTCTGATGCACAGTGCGTCCCCGCCCCAGTTTCCTTTGATGACCTTGGGGCTGCCACCTAAAACAGCCTTTTCTACATCCCAGCCTCACAAGCGGGTCATGTTGCAGGATTCTTGCCCAGAAAGAGACCAAACTACAAACTCTGAAATACAGTTTCTACTTGGTGAGTGCCGTTTTTCAAGCATTTTAAGTCGAAATCCCAATGCTGTGGGTTCAAGGCCAGCCTGGTCTATGGAGCTAGTTCTAGGATAGCCAAGGCTACACAAAGAAACCCTGCCTCAAAAAACAAAACAAACACACAAAGTGCAGGGTGTGTGTAGAACCCAGGTAGGCGCAACCTCACGAGCCACATGAGTGGCCAGTCTCTATGGCCCCCAGCCTGGCCAGTGTCACCCTCCCACCCCACAGCACAATCTCAAATCCAACTGAGTCCAAAGCCCCAGATGCAGCCTCCCCCACACCACAGCCAGATACCCACATCAGCAACCACAGGGACAGCCACGGCTTAGCCACAGCCATCTGTCGCTCAGGCTGTCCCCGGCACTCCCAGGAGCCCCACAGACAGAGCCTCAGCACAAGTGCAGAGCCGGCCCAATGATAACCATGGCACAGCATGGCACAGCCAGCCTTCCATGCCATCACCCCACACAGGAACATCTCAGCCATTCCGACCCCCCCCACACACACACACACAAGTGAGCTGCACACTGCCGCCAGTCCATGCAGCAGGCATGCGGCACGCACACACACACACACACACACACACACACACACACACACACACAGACCTCCATACCAGGGACACACAACCAGAGTGTCAACAGCCAGTCAATGACCATCACATATCACCCATGTAACCGACACAATTCCACACACTCCATCCCCACCGCTGCACAACACCTAGATCCAGCCCCGTAAGAGATTCCACTCCCTGACACACATGGCCACACACATCCATCAGCCACAAGTACAGAGCTGACCATAGAACAGACCCGGCATCTCACTGTCACACATGCTAAGTAGTGTGTACAGCCCACACCTAACACACACACACACAATCAGGGTCACCCACATTCACTCAGTCTGTCCCCATTATAGGGTGACATGGTAGCTCATCTCCCTTTTACACTTGTACCCACAATCTTATTAAAAAATTATATATAAACTGGGCAGGTAGTGGTGGCGCACGCCTTTAATCCCCGCTTGCACTTGGGAGACAGAGGCAGGCAGATCTCTGTGAGTTCGAGGCCAGCCTGGTCTACAGAGCGAGTTCCAGGACAGGTAGCGATACACAGAGAAACCCTGTCCCGAAAAACAACAAAAATTATATATGTGTATGGACATTCAGGGTTTCTCTGTGTGGCCCCGGTTGTCCTGGAACTCGCTCTGTAGACCAGGCTGGCCTCAAGCTCAGAGATGCACCTGAGTATTGTCTGTCTCCCGAGTATTGGGATTAAAGGCGAGCATCATGATGCCTGGTCTTTTCCTTTATATATTCATTGTGTGCGGATGTGCACGGAAGGTCAGAGTTCAACCCGCAACTTTGAGGAAGTCAGTTCTCTCCTCCACCTTGTGGATCCTGGGGATCAAACTTAAAAAGTCAGGCTTGGCAGCAAGCACCTTGACCCACTGAGCCGTCTCGCTGGCCCTTTTTCCTTGTCTTTTTCTTTCTCTCTCTGACACGGGTACCCACAATCTGTCCTCCTTGTCGCTCTCGCTTGAGAAAGAGTCTCACTAGGTAGCCCAGGCTGGCCTCCAACTCTGCGCCTCCTGCCTCAGTTTCCCCAGTGCGCCCTGCCTGACACCCTCTCTTTTGCACACGCCGCGGAGGGTCCCTTACCATGCGTGTCTTGCACTCCTAGGCTGCAGCCGGTGACCCTCTGACAGCCCGGCCAGCCCCTCCGGCGGCCGCGGAGACCCCGCACCCGACTCCGCGCGTCACAAGGCCCCGCCCCGCCCACAGATGTTTTCCTAGCCGGCTAGGGCGGCGCGCGGCCCGCGGGGACCCCCAGGCTCGCCCCCGACGCCAGGCCCGCGGCCCCCTCGGGGACCCCGCAGCCGTCGCCGCCGATCCCCCTCCGTACCCACCTGGCGGGCTGCCTGTCCGCACCGCCTCGCTGCGCGGAAACACCGCGGCTCCCGCTGCGCCGCAGCCGGTCCGGGCGGCTCCTCGGGAGGGCGGGGCAGGGCCAGGCCACGCCCACGCAGGTGCGCCGGCCACGCCCCCGGCCGCCGCACTGGGAGAAACCCGCAGTCTGAGAACTTCCCAAAACTTTCTTTCGGGTCCTCCAGCGGGCTCAGGCGGTAAAGGCGCTTGCCACCAAGCCTGAGGGCCTGAGTTCGATCCCTGGGACCCGCAGGGAGGAAGGAGACCGACTCCCACAAGTTGTCTTCTGACTTCCACATGCGTGCATCCGAAATAAATCCGTAAAAGTGTAATTTATATTTTTTTATGAAGGACTGGAGAGATGGCTCAGCAGGTAAGAGCACAGGCTGCTCTTGCGGAGGATCCGGGCTCGATTTCCAGCACCCACATGACGGCTCACAGCCATCTGTACCTCCAGTCCCAGGTGATCCAGCACCCTCTTCCAGGGCCTCCACAGACACAGCATGCACGTGACGCACAGACGTGCAGGTAAAACATCCGATGAAGATAAAAAATCTCCCAAAACATTGTTTTAATAATTACAACCGCAGAACTTGGCAAAGGCCCTTACTCTGCCATGCTTGACAACCTGGTGTTCATCTCCAAGACCCACATGGAGCAGGGGGAGAAATGACTCCCGCAACTGGTTCTCTGAGCTCCGCATGCATGGAGTATGTGCGCCCCACACGTGTGCCTTTGTGTATACATACACACAATAAGAGTTAGTATTTTATAATTTATTTAAATTTACTTTATGTGCATTGGTGTGACGGTGTCAGATCCCCTGGAACAGACTGCTCACAACTGATGTGGGTGCTGGGAATTAAACCCTGGTCCTCTGGAAGAGCAGCCAGCGTTCTTAGTCACTGAGCCATCTCTCTGGTCCCCAAATAAGAGCTTTCTAAAAGGCTTCAAGGAAAAATAAATAAATAAAAGGCTTCAAGGATTGGGGCAGAGGTGGTGCATACCTTTAATCCCAGCACTCCAGAGGCAGAGGCAGGCGGATCGCTGTGAGTTTGAGGCCAGCCTGGTCTACAGATCGAGTTCCAGAACAGGCTCCAAAGTTACACAGGGAAACCCTATGGGGGGGGGGGGGGCTTCAAGGATTGAATTGATTCACATGAACGGTAGTGTGTGTTCATCGCTGGAGATGGAACCCAGAGCCATGTGAACACTAGGAAAGACACCATTCAGCCACCCCAGGTTTTTTCATATATATATTTAAAAAAACATTAAATTTATTTATTTATCTTGGTTTTTGGAGACAGAGTTCCTCTGTGTAGCCCTGGCTGTCCTGGAACTCATTCTGTAGACCAGAACTTGAACTCAGAGATCTGACAGCCTCTGCCTCCTGAGTGCTGGGATTATAGGCGTGTGCCACCACTGCCTGGCAATTTTTAATTTTATTAAAATTTGAGACAAGATCTCACTATGTATTCCAGTCTGGCCTCACAGTCATGGCCATCCTCCTGCCTTGGTTCCCTTAGTGCTGGAATTACAGCCACTATATCCTAAGTTACCTTTGTTTTACTTTGGGAGGACAGTGTCTCCCTATAAAGCTCAGCTGAGCTCAAATTCACAGTCCTCCTGCCGCAATCTCTTGAAGAGTTGGGAGTGCAGACCCATGCCCCCCACGCTGCGCTTCTCAGGGCCCAGCAGCTAAGAATCCCTTAATGTTGGCTCTTGGGTCTATAATATTCTACAAGTAGTGCCTTGTCTTTCTTTTGCTTTTCTCAAGGCCAAGACTGCATCGCAGCATGACGTAGGTGCACAAGAAATATTTGCAGGGTGACTGGTTGATTTAATCGGGTTAGAACCGTCAAGAAAAGTCCCTGCAGTGAGCGAGGATGCCGCAAGAGGGTGCTGCGGGTCCACGGAGCAGCCCGCGGCGCGCGCATCCTCGGGAGCCCAGGCCGAGGTGTCCTTCCCCAGGAAGTCCTCTGCGACACACACACGCACACACACACACACGCACACGCACACGCACACGCGCACACACGCGCGCTCCCGGGGCTCGCAGCCTCGGGGGCCCCAGAGTCTTCACCCCTGCACACTCCGGGTCGTCACACTGGGGGACAGGCATCTGCCACATTGAAACTGTAAATACCCCAGCGCAGGGCAACCTCCTCGGAGCCTGAGTGTGGATTGAAGCCTGGACATAAATTCAAACTCATGTTGTAACGTTTCTGGTTATTTCGAGGGCCCAGGACTGAAGAGGGCAGCTAGGTTCCACCCCGTCGTTCGTTTTGGTCTTTGGACACTAACAATGGATCTACCACACGTCATCCTGAAGCAGATGCAGACCCCAGCTGTGTCGTTTGCTGGCTGTGTGACACACACCACACACACACACACACACACACACACACACACACACACACACACACACATCTCTGGCCGCCGGTACCTGGTCTACGCAACCAGATCCAGAGAGGGAACCTACTTTCTGGAATCTGTTGTAAGCAGTTCCTCCAAAGGACTTTGGATGGGGTGGGTGAGACGCCTCCGTGGCTAAAGGGGCTTGCTGCCAAGCCTCACAGCCTGAGTTCGATCCCTGGGGCCCATCTGGTGGAAGGAGAGACCTGATTCCGTGAGTTGGGCTGGGTAGATCTGTGTCCACATCCGAATCTGGCCGTCTTCTCCTCACGTGACCGGCTCCTTATCTGCACACGCGCAGCCTCTGAGGATTACAGGAGATAAAGATTAGGAGCAAACCCGGGGAGGCACCGTGGTTAGGCTGGCCTCGGTCCCAGCAGGCTGCACACGCCAAGCGGGGCCTGTACCAAATCCTCCGTGCAAGTTACTGCCGTCCACTCTCCATTGTGAAGAGGATGATGATGAGGCACAGAGAGGTCGAGCGCCTTCTCAAGATCACACAGCCAAGGCCTCAAGACATCCTTAAGCCACACAGCCATCCATACCCCAAGGTAGGCTCCCTGGCCAGGCCCACGTGAAGATGAAGAAACTGAGGCCCTGAGAGACAAAAATGCTTGCCGAGACCTCAATCGAGGAGGCCGTTCATGCCTCTAATCCCAGCAACTGGGATACTGAGGTAGGACGAGTGTCAAGGAGTTCCAAGCTAGCCTGGGCTACATGGTTGTAAGACCTCAAAACTGCTAAGGAACAAAATACAGCCTGGTGGCTTCTGCCTATGGTGGTATCACTCTGGAAACTGAGGCAGGAAGGTCTCTGTGGGGTCCAGGACAGCCTGGGCCCCAACCTTCTCAAGACTCAAGACTTGGGGCTCCTGACCGATCTCAGTTCCACCCACTAACTCTCACACCCTAGAAGGGGGGCAGGAGCGTGACACAGGCAGGGGGCAGACATGACCAGTCCTGAAGGACTAGGGCCTGAGGACACAGCCTGAGGATGCCGAGAGGCCAGGACGTCATTTTCACCAAAGCTCTGCACCCTCTCGGCCACCCTGTGCCCCTCTGATCAGCAGCTCTACCCCTTCCTAGCTGTTTGCCCTTGGGCTGGCTGCTTGACCTCTCTGAGCCTCACCGGTGAGAGACTGAGTTACTGTGTAAGTACTCAGAGCAGTGCTTAACATAGCATCAGCACCCACACTAGCTTCCTCCCCATAGTTGACCTCCTTGCAGGAAGAACCCACCTTTGACTGGCTCATCCCAGGTCACATGATTAGCCCGAGACTGCAAGTCATTCTGGGAAACCGAGTTCCCGTATGTTAGGCATCCATCTCAAAAGACCAGTGACATAGAACCACAGGACCCCCACCCCCACCCCCACCCAAGGCGTAGAAAATATACATGTAGCCAAAAAAGAATGCCGGGGGACTGGCAAGACGGCTCCGTGGCAAGGGCGCTTACTTGCAGCCAAGCCCGACACCCTGAGTTCAAGTCCTGGAATCCACAGAATGGAAGGAAGGAACGGACTCCCAGGACTGTCCTCCGACTTCCATGGTGTCTCTCCCCCTCACTCATGAGGGGGTCTCAGGGACCCGGAGGGCATGACATGGCTGCAGCCCGCCTCTCCCTGCCTATAACCTTCGGCGGCTCCCATCAGATGTGAATAGATACAGCAGAAACTATTCCCAGCAGTCCCTTTCCCAACGGTGTCTCTTCCTGTCTACCCTCAACACTCCTACCTCAGGACCTTGGCACCTGCTCTTCCCTCAGCTCCCTCCCTACGCAGCTGGCTCTCTCCACATCAGATGTCACATCCCCTCCTCAGAGGCCTGCCTTGATTTACCCTGTCTGAAATAGTGCTGTGATCTGCTACCCTTCAAAGGCCTATTGACCTGTCTGTACCGGCCAGGAGGGGTCAGGGAACACCCTTTGTTTTCCCAGCAAGTATTCGATAAACTTAGGTTTTTGTTTTGGGGGTTTGGTGTGGTTTTGTTGAGGCAGGGTTTCTCTGTGTTGTAGCCCAGGCTGTCCTGGAACTTGCGCTATAGACCAGGCTGGCCTCGAACTCTTGAAACCTAGTTCCTGTTGGTTCTCTGGCCATCACCTTCTACGACCCTGGAGGAGGTCTTTACCCATCTGACCGTGCCGGCAATGAACACAGGGTGCCAGGGCCAGAGGTTGAACCTCAAGTACATTTTAAAAGCACTTCTTCCCTTCTCTGCCCCCTAGAACAGGCTACCCTTGCCAGTCTGGGCAGAAATGGGGGGAGTGGAGTGAAGCCTAGTTAGATACCCCAGCAGGAATCCAGAGAAGCAATCCTGAAGAAGGTAGTCCAGTCTCTGCAATCCCGGTGCCTCCCAGGCAGAGGAGGAAGCTTCCTCCTGGCTGGCCTCACTTCCATATGTCCCCTCCTTGGTCACAGCTGAGGTACAAAAGGCTCCTGTCTACCACGTCCTGCTCCAGTCTGCCCTGCACAGCTCCGGGACCACCCAGCCTTCCTTTCCCTGGGGATGGGAGCAGCCACCAGGGGTCTAAGCTGCCCATGTATGGAGGCAAGGCCTGGGGACACCCGAGATGCCTGGTTATAATTAACCCGGACACGTGGTGGCCCCCCCAACACCTGCTGCCTGAGCCCCCCCATCCCAGTGCCCGGGTCTTGGGCTCCATAGACACGCCGGAGAAGCTCGCTCTAAAAATAACCCTGTCCCCAGTGGATCCAGGGCAGGGGGCAGGCCGAGGGTGACCACCACTTGCCCTAGGCCCAGGCTCGCCTCCCCTTGAGTAGGTTTTCTGATGGCTTCCTTCCTTGTCAGTTCCACAGTGGTGGGAGCGGCCAGTGCCGAGGCTCCTGGGGTGAAACTGCACCTGGTTCTAGAACTCCGGCCACGGCCATCGCCATCTCTGCAGCTGGGTGACCACAGGCCTGTGACCTCCCCAGGGTCTGGGGGCCCTTGGCTCTCACTGCAAAACTCCCCCCAGGTGCTGCAGGATAGAGATGTGGCTCCGGGAAACAGCACCTGCCTGGCGCGCATGAGGTCCCGGGTTCTGAATCTATAACTACAAAAGATGGCACACACCTGGAATCCCAGCAACTTGGGAGGTTGAGGCAGGGAGGGGGTTTGCCATGAGTTCAACGCCACATAGTAAGAGCCTGTCTCAAAAAGCCAAAATAAATAAATATGAAAGTGAAGTCAGGCATGTGATCCTACTTGGGAGGCTGAGGCAGGAGGATTGTCACAAGTCTGAGGCCAGCCTGGACTATATAGTGGGTTCCAGGCTAGCCTTGGCTACAGAGTAAGACCCTGTTTCAAAAACACAAAACCAAACTGAAATGGTTCTCCCAGCTGCTGGTTCTCAGCAAGCAGTGAGGCCCAGGGAGGGTGCTGGTTGCCGTCACAGCTGCAGGGGCCTGAGGCAGGCTATGACAGGCTCAGGGGGGCCAGGGCTCCTACGTGCCTGGGACACTCCAAGTATTACTGCTCCATGTTCCCGGCGGGGGGCCAGCTGTCCCCGGCCAGCTCGACTCAGCACTTGGTCTGGGAACCAGGGAACAGGCCAGCCCCTGGGGCAGCCCATACAAGGCCATGGGGCCGGGCACACAGCACGCCTGGGTTGGGGGTGGGCATGGTGCCCGGGCAATGAGCTGAAAGCTCAGCTGCCCTCGGGGGCTCCCCCCTGGGGACAGCCCCTCCTGGCCAACCACACCCCGACGGCCCCTCTATATAACCCAGGGGCTGCGGGCTCTGCCCCCGGGTCAGCATTCCCTCCAGGACAGAGACAGCCTCTCCCAAGCCGCCCAGCCAGGTAGGGCCTGCGGGGAGCCACGGGGGTGGTGGGAGGGGGAGCCCAGGGGTCCGCTCACCCTGTAGTGTCTGCTTGTGAATTCTGCAGCACAAGTTGTGGGGACAGACGTCCCCACTGAGGTCTCAGCAGCTGCCAAGTGTCCCCGCTTGCGAGGACCCGCTTGGGACCAGCGCTGAGCAGAATTTATCTGCGAAGGAGGCGGGTGTCTCCATGACACCTGCCACCTCTGTCACCCTGTGGGTCTGTGTTTCGTCCCTGTGACCTTGGGCCTCATTGTCTCTGACGCTCTCTCTTTGGTTGTTAAGTTTTAAGAATCACGACGTTTATTTTGTGTGTGGGGTGGGGGACCAGGTCACAATGCCCATGTGACAGAGGTCAGAGGGTCTCTCCTTCCACCCCATGTGGGGATCAAACTCAAATTGTCAGTGTCTTGTGATGAGCTGTCTTACAGTCCCCTGGCTCTCCTGAGTCCCTTTGTCTGGCTGTCTCTGGGCTCTGTGTGACTCCATGACTCAGTTTACCTTGTGATCTTAGGGAGTCTGTGATGGGTCGTGTTGGGGGATCCGAGGGTGCTCGACTTCTCTCTCTGGCCTCAGTGTCTCCTGGGGTGTCCATGACACCCCGGGGGGGACACCTTCTGAAGGGGGCGGTCTGGGCTGGAAGCCTTGGGTGTCCTTGATCCCCGGGGCCTGGCCGTGTGTCCTGGCCACCCCAGCCCACCTGTCTCTATGCTGACTTAGTGCAAGGCGAGCCGGCGCGAGCGGAGGGGCAGGTGCGGTGGGGGATGGGGAGCATCTAAAAATAGACACCAGGCTGCGGCTTCAAGGGCTTTGGGTCTCTGTCCTGCCCCACCCCCCTCGCTCAACTTGGTCGGCCTTTCCCCGTTGCCTTCCAGCCCTGATCTGAGGCATGGATGTCCCCCATTGTCAGACCTGCAGGGGTCTAGTAATAAAAAGGGCAATAAAATAATAACAACTGCAATAAAAGTGATAAGTCTGGAGAGAGGGCTCCGGCAGCAGCATACAGTTTGTTTTGCGAGCAGCAGGACCTAGTTCAAACGCCAGAATCCACAACTCTAAACAAAAAAACAAACAGAGCGGAGCCAGGCAGTGGCAGTGCACGCCTTTAATCCCAGCACTGGGGAGGCAGAGGCAGGCGGATCACTGGGTTCGAGGCCAGCCTGGTCTGCAGAGTGAGTTCCAGGATAGCCAGGGTTACACAGAAAAGCCCTGTCTCGAAAAACCAAAAAAAAAGAAAAAAAAAAAAAGAAAAAAAAGCTAAAAAGCTGGCTGTGGCAGAGAATATCAGTAATCCCATTGCTGGTAAGATGGGACAGATGGATCCCTGGGTCTCGATGGTCAGCCAGCCTAGCTCCAGGCCCATGAGAGACCCTGCCTCAAAACAAATAAACAAACAAAACCAAAAAGACAAAGTTGACGGCACCTGAGGTCACCTTTTAGTCACCGTTGGAACGTGCACAGCCGTGCGCAGGCATGACCCCACCTAGTCCCAGCTGTGGTTTCATGCCAGATGCCAGATCCTACCAGCCGTCACTCCAACTCAGAGATCTGCCAGTCCCATGGGAAAGCCTCGGTCCCCAGGATACAGATGTCAGAGAGGTCCAGTCACTAGCCTGGGGCCACACAGCAGTGACTTAGGAATGTGGATTTGGAGCAGGGGACCTGTAGACACCCAGAGGCAGAGGGACTCAGAGAGGTGGGTGACCGTCCTGGACCTGTCCTATGCCCTCACCTGGACTGATTTGGATTGGGAATCTCAACGGAGCCTTTATGCCTTCTCTCAGGGGTACACATATAATCTCTACTCGGGACCTCACAGCTTGTTGGCATTGGCTTTCAATTTCTGTGACAAAACACCGCAGTCAAGGCAACTTAAAAAGGAAAGCATTAATTTAGGGCTCACAGTACCAAAGGGTTAGAGTCCATGACCATCACGGCAGAGAGCGTAGCGGCAGGCAGGCGCGGTGCTGGAGCAGTTGCCGAGAGTGTACATCTTTATCCACAACCAGGAGGCAAAGAGAGCCACCCCCACTGACACACCTCCCCCACAAGGCCACACCTCCCAATCCTTCCCAAACAGTTCCACCAACTGGGTACCAAGCATTCAAATGCGAGCATGTGGGAGCCGTTCTCATTCAAACCGTCACAGACCCCAGAACAATAACTGAATAGGATAATGCGTGTCATATGCCAGGCACTGGCCCAGGTGCTTTACCTGTCCTCAAATCCCTCCAAAGAGGTGAGCACTGTCACAGTCTCCACTTTACAGATAAGGAAACAGAGACTCAAACAAGTTGCTCAAAGCCACACAGCTTGTTGTAAGACGGAGAGCTGAGATGCAAACCCAGGCCATCAGATTCCAGATCCTTTGCTCTTTTTATCCATTTTATTTATGTATTTTTATTTATTGAAAGGCAGGGTCTCACTCTGTAGGCCAGGCTGGCCTTGAGTTCACTGCAACTCTCCTGCCTCAGTTTCAGGGTCTTGGAATTACAGGCATGGGCCATCATGACCAGCCAAGACCTCTATTCAGTCTCTCTGGGTTAAGACAGTCCCATGCAGCTGGGGCTGGCCTCCAACTCTCTATGTAGCTGAGGATGACCTTGAACTTCTGATCCTCTAAGTGTTGGGATTACAAGCATGAGTCTCCATATCCGGTTTTGCTGGGAACCAAACCCAGGGTCCTGTGCATGCTGGGCATGCACTCTGCCAACTGAGCCCCAGCCCCCAGATTCTAAAATTTTTTTTTTTATCACCATACTTCTCTGGCTTGGGACAAAGGGTTTCATCCTCTTTCCCAGCTAGAGAGACTGGGTCCCTAGCAAGGTCACACAGCCAGAATGTGGCCACATCAGGCCAACTTAGGCTGTGGTTCTCAGAGAGAGGACTCCTCCCACTTCAAGCCCATGGTCTGACTGACCTCAAGCCCCCAGCAGCTGGGTTCTTGAGTCTGAGCTCACCATCCCCTCCGCCTGCACAGGGTCCCACAAGCCGCCACCATGCCGTTCGGTAACACTCACAACAAGTTCAAGCTGAACTACAAACCCGAGGAAGAGTACCCCGACCTCAGCAAGCACAACAACCACATGGCCAAGGTGCTGACCCCCGACCTCTACAAGAAGCTTCGAGACAAGGAGACCCCTTCCGGCTTCACTCTGGACGATGTCATCCAGACCGGGGTGGACAACCCAGGTGAGCCTATACTGGGACTAACAGACCAGAGGGCTGGAGGCCACTGGGCAGACTCCTGCCTCTCCCGGGGAGCCTGGGCTCCCTCCCACCCTCCCTTCCTTTGAATGAATTCTAGGACTTCCTGCATGGTAGGTAAATATTCTACCACTGAGTCACACCCCCAGCCCCTCACTGGGGGATTCTGGGCAGGGGCTCTACCACTGAGCCACACCCTAGCCCCTCACTGGGAGATTCTAGGCAGGGGCTCTACCACTGAGCCACACCCCCAGCCCCTCACTGGGGGATTCTAGGCAGGGGCTCTACCACTGAGCCACACCCCCAGCCCCTCACTGGGGTATTCTGGGCAGGGGCTCTACCACTGAGCTACACCCCCAGTCCCTCACTGGGGATTCTAGACAGGGGCTCTACCACTGAGCCACACCCACAGCCCTTCACTGGAGGATTCTGGGCAGGGGCTCTACCACTGAGCCATACCCCAGCCCCTCACTGGGGGATTCTGGGCAGGGGCTCTACCACTGAGCTACACCCCCAGTCCCTCACTGTGGATTCTAGACAGGGGCTCTACCACTGAGCCACACCCCAGCCCCTCACTGGGGGATTCTAGGCAGGGCTCTACCACTGAACCACACCCCAGCCCCTCACTGGGGGATTCTAGGCAGGGGCTCTACCACTGAGCCACACCCCTAGCCCCTCACTGGGGGATTCTAGGCAGGGGCTCTACCACTGAGCCACACCCCAGCCCCTCACTGGGGGATTCTGGGCAGGGGCTCTACCACTGAGCCACGCCCCCAGCCCCTCACTGGGGAGTTCTAGGCAGGGGCTCTCCCACTGCTCTGCAGTCCCCACCCATGAGTGGGTTATTCAAGCCTCTTACCTGGATCCTTTGTGGAGGTGAATTGTTTGAGCTTTTCACCATTTGGGGCTGAGATACCATTATGATTCGGGGACTCCAAGGAGCACTAACATCTTTGGTCCCATTTACCTGGACGCTGAGATGGCTCTTCTTCCCATATTGGACACCTACATCCCTCACATGCCTAAGCTCCCGGCGCTGACCTCACCCCACCCCGCAGGTCACCCCTTCATCATGACGGTGGGCTGTGTGGCCGGTGATGAGGAGTCCTACACGGTCTTCAAGGACCTGTTTGACCCCATCATCCAGGACCGCCATGGCGGCTACAAACCCACGGACAAGCATAAGACCGACCTCAACCACGAGAACCTCAAGGTCAGTGACCCCCCAAGAAGCGGGGCAGGCGCAGAGGTGGGGAGACAAATACAGAGGGAGGGGCGGAGAGATAAGCACACCCCCAGGAGATGGGACCCCAGCATCCTCAGGGTAGGTGGGGGTGGTGGGCAGTGAAGGAGCTCATTGCCAACTTGGGGACCTGGAAAAGTCTAGGGGAGGTCCAAGGGGCCCTGGGGAGACCCTAGAAGATCTAGGGTAGACCCAGGAGGAAGTGGGGAGACCCCGGAGGACATGGGGAACACCCGGGAGGACTGGGGACACCTTGGAAGGTTTACAGTGGGACTCACAGAGCACCTGGAGTGAGATCCCCACCCACGAGGTTCTTGGGGAGACCAGGGCTGGACAGGTCTGCCTTCCCTGACACCCCATCGCTCCCCAGGGCGGAGACGACCTGGACCCCAACTACGTGCTGAGCAGCCGCGTGCGCACTGGCCGCAGCATCAAGGGCTACACGCTGCCCCCGCACTGCTCCCGCGGAGAGCGCCGCGCCGTGGAGAAGCTCTCCGTGGAAGGTGAGGTCCCCAGCAGCTGCACCCGCTTCCGCTTCCGGTTCCGGTTCCGCTAGAGCTGGCTTTGTCGCTAGGAGGCTGGCTGCATTACCTGTGTGCTCCGGGTTTGGGGGCATCTCACACTGAGGCGGCCTGGGAAGTCCTGCACTCAGCTACCCCGGAGTCTTCATACTCATTGTTCACGCATCACTCATTCACTCATTGACTTGTTGATTCATTAATTCAGCAAACATGTTGGCAGCTGAGGTTTCTCAAAATGGGTGAGGCGACAAAACCAGGAATCTGGCAAGTGTGGCGGAGAACCCACAGAGGGTTGCTCCTGGTAGTTGGCCTGGGCTTGGCACCCTACTGAGGCAGGAGGATCAACGCGAATTGAAGGCCAGCTTGGATTCATAGTGAGACTCTGCCTCAAAAACAAGAAATCGCCGGGCAGTGGTGGCACATGCCTTTAATCCCAGCACTCGGGAGGCAGAGGCAGGTGGTTCTCTGTGAGTTCGAGGCCAGCCTGGTCTACAAAGTGAGTTCCAGGACAGGCTCCAAAACTACACAGAGAAACCCTGTCTCGAAAAACAAAACAAATAAGCAACAACAACAACAAAAAAAAAAAAAAAAAGAAAGAAAGAAAAGAAAAAAGAAAGAAATCAGGGCAGGCCAGGTGGTGGTGGTGCACACCTTTGATCCCAGCACTCTGGGAGGCAGAGGCAGGAGGATCTCTGTAAGTTCGAGGCCAGCCTGGTCTACAGAGCGAGATCCAGGACAGCCAGGGCTGTTACATAGAGGAAACCTGTCTCAAAAAAACAAAACAACAACAAAAAACCCCAAAACAAATGTTTATAGTAGTCACTGTAAATTTCTCTTTCTCTTGTTTAATTGAGACAGAGATTTCCAGTGTAGCCCTGGCTGGCCTCCAACTAGTGATCCTCCTGCCTCAGCCTCTCAAATGCTAGGATTACAAGTGTGTGCCCTTAGCTGGCACAAGGTGTAAATTCTACAATGGCTTTTTTTTTTTTTTTTTTTTTTTTTTCCCTGAGGTAGGGTCTGTCTACAGAGTCCTGGAACTCACTCTGTAGATCAGGCTGGCCTCGAACTCACAGAGCTCCACCTGCCTCTGCCTCCCATCCCTATAGGGGCCATTCTTAAACCCTCTGTGATTAAGCCATGCATAGGGAGTTTGAGGTCAGTTTAGGCTACATGATGAGGCTTAGTCTCAGAAACGAAAACCATAAAAGCCAGGTGCAGGTATCACACTCTCTTGCAGGTAGACTGGGTGGGAGGGTCTGCTTTATGTCCTTGGGGACATGGGCATATGGGGGTGTCCATGAATTCTTGGAACAGGACATGTATTTGGGTTTAGATGTGGAGTGTAGGTGGGTTGGAGACCCAGGGTGTCAAGGGCAGCAATGTGGGGTCCTTGGACCCCAGCTGAGGCGAGACAGGATGTTGATTGCTCTCCTGTGGCCCGCCCCTCAGCTCTTAACAGCCTGACAGGCGAATTCAAAGGCAAGTACTACCCTCTGAAGAGCATGACGGAGCAGGAACAGCAGCAGCTCATCGATGACCACTTCCTGTTTGACAAGCCTGTGTCCCCTCTGCTGTTGGCCTCAGGCATGGCCCGAGACTGGCCCGACGCCCGTGGCATCTGGTGAGTCCCTCTCCTGGCCCCTCCAGCTTCTTTCCAGCCCCCAGCCCTTCTCCATCACGTGAGCCCATGACCTTGCCTTCCAACCCTGCCTAGCCCTGGGCAGGTGTCGCGGTTCAGAAAACTTGGACCAAAGAAGCGCAGTGAGGAGCTTACATCAGCCAGGCCTAGTGTCATAGGCCTCTCATTCCAGCCACTGGGGAGGCCTAGGCAGGAGGTTCCCAGCTCAGGGCCAGCCAGACTACAGTGAGTTTGAAGCCAGACTGGGCCTCAAAATAAAAATTGAAAAGAAGCAGTGGTGGCGCACGCCTTTAATCCCAGCACTTGGGAGGCAGAGGCAGGCGGATCTCTGAGTTCGAGGCCAGCCTGGTCTGCAGAGCGAGTTCCAGGACAGCCAGTATTACACAGAGAAACCCTGTCTTGAAAAACCAAAAACAAAACAAAAATTTGAAAAGAGAGTTGGAGTGGTTGGCGTGTGGCTCAGTGGTAGAGCCCCTGCCTAGAATCCTCCAGTGAGGGGCTGGGGTGTGGCTCAGTGGTAGAGCCCCTGCCTAGAATCCCCCAGTGAGGGGCTGGGAGTGTGGCTCAGTGGTAGAGCCCCTGCCTAGAATCCCCCAGTGAGGGGCTGGAGTGTGGCTCAGTGGTAGAGCACTTGACTGGCATGTATAGGCCCAGATTTAATCCTCAGTATGGCAAACAAAACAAAATAAACATTTATACTTGAACCACTCTCTCAGTTCAAATCCCAACTCTGTTACTAGGTGTATGACCATACATATCTGTAGAAACAGCTATTCTAGTGTCCTGAGGCAGGAGGATCACTTGATGGCAGGAACCATTCTGGTCAAAAAAAGACCATCTTTACAAAAATCCACTGTACAACAAAATATATATATGAAAGTATAATAATAATAATAATAATAATAATAATGATACTACTAATAATAATAATACCAGGCTTGGTGATGCATGCCTGTAATCATCACACTGCAGAGGCTGAGGCAGGAGGATTACCAATTCAAGGGCAGCCTGGCTACACACCAACACCCCCCTTCTGAATAAAAAGTGATACTAATTCAAATTGTTACATTAATAATAATTTAAAAAAAAACCTGAAGACGTTGAAATCTCAGAATCCTGGCATGCGAAGCTTGGGATCTGAACGGATAAACGTTGTCGATATGACCTTGTGGTCACAGGAGGTACAGTGCCACCATATCCTCTGCTGGCTTCGCACTCACTCTGTTGCCCAGGCTGTCCTCATACACCAGATCTTCCCGCCTCAGCCTTCTGGGTGCCAAGATACCAGGTCGGTGCCCGGAAGGCGAGGAGTCAAGCTAAGACTGAAGTTTTGCAGACGTGTGACTGGGAACCGGGTGCACCTCATTCATGTCCCCCAGTGCCCAAAGGAAGGGACTGTGTTGGACGAAGGAATGCATTTACTTTCCGGGGCCATGGAACTCCTGCTAACTTCTGGGGCTCGGGTTGCCCCTTCTCAGGCACAACGACAACAAAAGCTTCCTGGTGTGGGTGAACGAGGAGGACCACCTCCGCGTCATCTCCATGGAGAAGGGGGGCAACATGAAGGAGGTCTTCCGCCGCTTCTGCGTGGGCCTGCAGAAGGTGGGTGTCTGCCCCTCCTCGGGGACCTGGGACTACATCCTGACTGCCACACCCACTTTGTAGAGTCACGCTCCTTCTAGACCCAGCCCCGCCCTTCCAAACCACCATGCCCAGTTCCCAAAACTCCGTCCTCTCCTTCCACGTGTATCAACAGGCTTTTCCCCACCCACTTTACAATCTCCATCTCTTAGCTACATACACACAGACACATACACACACGCACATACACAGATGCGCACGCGCGCGCGCACACACACACACGCATGCACACACATACACACACGCACACAGACCAAGCCCTGCTCTTTCTGATTCCACCCTACCCATCTCCCCAAGAAGGCCCCAACCCTTCCCCACACTCAGACACCCCTAACCCATCCTGCCAACTTTCTTAAGCCCTAGCCTGAGCCCCACCGTTCAGAACGCACCTCACCCTTTTTGGAAGCCCCGCACCCTCCACCCAGTGCCCAATCTAAGCCCCATCCCCACACCCAGGGTCTGAAGCCTACCCCCATGTTTGCCCTGCGCTTCTCTCCAGAACTCCTCCGGGTTAGTTCTCCACTCCCACCCCTTGGGAACCCCACCCCCACCTACATCCTAACACCTGTCCCTCGGAAACCACCGGGGCAGGCTGCATTTGGAGCCCAACCCCCAATGCTCCCTCCCCCGCCCCCCTCAGATTGAGGAAATCTTCAAGAAGGCTGGTCACCCCTTCATGTGGAACGAGCACCTGGGCTACGTGCTCACCTGCCCCTCCAACCTGGGCACCGGGCTGCGCGGAGGCGTGCACGTGAAGCTGGCGAACCTCAGCAAGCATGCCAAATTCGAAGAGATTCTCACCCGCCTGCGTCTGCAAAAGCGCGGCACAGGTATGGGCCGCATCTGGGGAGGGGCACCCCTGCAAGTTCCGGGGTCAAAGCTATTTGATGTGCATTTTACATACCTCCCTGACCCTTCCGTGGGGCCTCGGATTCTCAATCAGTAAATGGAGTGAGGCCACAGGCAGCCACTGTTAACCATCATGTTCTCCCACGGCGGGTCCCCCCCCCCCCCCCACGGAGACAGTCACTGTGGAGTGACTGTCACAGTCACAAGTGGTTGGTCTGAAACTTGCTTTGTAGACCAGGCTGGCCTCAAACTCTCCAAGTCATAGTCTATGTCCCAGAACTCACTCTGTAGTCCAGGCTGGTCTTGCACTCACAGAGATCCTCCTGCCTCTGTCTCCCCAGGGCTGAGATTAAAGGCGTGTACCGCCACGCCTGGCATATTTTTAAAATTAAATTCATTTATCTGTGTGAGAGAGGAGAGTCCCATTTCACGACACTTGTGCGGAGGTCAGAGCACAGCATCAGCTCTCTCCTTCCACCATGTGGGTCCTGGGAATTGAACACAGGTCGTCAGTCTTCTCAGCAAGCATCTTTACCTACTCAGCCATTCCTCCGGCCTGTTCTATAATTTCATGTTGGGTGGTCGAGCGAGGACCTCACCATAAAATCCAGGCATGTCGTCCCCAGTATTGAGAGCCGGTGACCTGTGTACCTCGAATTCCCGAGGCGTTGGCAGTGGGGCACAGGGGCGTCCCCGCACCTCTGCTCCCTGCTCATGCCTCCGTGGCCTCCGCTCCCGCGCAGGTGGCGTGGACACGGCTGCCGTGGGCGCCGTGTTTGACATCTCCAACGCCGACCGGCTGGGCTCGTCCGAGGTGGAACAGGTGCAGCTGGTGGTGGATGGCGTGAAGCTTATGGTGGAGATGGAGAAGAAGCTGGAAAAGGGCCAGGCCATCGACGACATGATCCCTGCCCAGAAGTAGGCGCCGCGCCAGGCTCACCGGCCAGGGGTGGGCATCTGGAGCCCCGCCCCCCGGAAGTCCAATCAGTGGGCTTTGTCCTCTGGCTTCTGGCCAATGAGAACCCGCCTCTCCGGAGCCCCGCCCACCAGCTGGAGCTCCCCCCCCCCTGCGCGCTCCCGAGCGCATCTGGAGCGCACGCTGCTTCTCCATGCCCAGCCTCAAATAAAAAGTCCGTGGTGGCCTTAGCTGTGAGTGTGACAGCTACTGCGGGAGAGGGAGCGGGGACTAAGGCATCCGGCCGTGGCTTCCCACTTATGCGTCTCGTTGGTTTCCTGCCCTGTCTTCGGCCCTCTCTAGCTGCACGGTTTTTTTTTGTTGTTTTGATACAGCCTCTCGTGCAGCCCAGGCTGGCGTCGAATTCCCTAGGTAGCTGAGGATAGCTTTGAATTTCTAATCCTCCTGCTTCCACTTTCCAAGTTCTGAGGTTAGAGGAGTGCACTATACTTGGCTCTGTGTGTGTGTGTGTGTGTGTGTGTGTGTGTGTGTGTGTGTGTTATATGCACTTACTATGTAGCCCAGGCTGGCCTCCAACTTGCATTAACCTCCTGCCTCAGCCTCCTGAATCCGGGATGACAAGGCAGACTCACCATGCCCTCTTAGCTGGCAGTTAGTGGCGGAAACTCGCCAGGTGAAAAGTACTCGCTGTATTCGCCCGATGATGGGAGTTTGGTCCGAGAACCCGTGTCAAGGGGGAAGGAAAGAACCAACTCCCCAAACTGAGTTGTCTTGACAAAGGTGTTCCCTTCCACATCGTACACACAAATAATACCTGAAGTGGAACAGTTAAAAAATCTGCCACAGTCCCCTTCTCCCAGTCTCATGTAGCCCAGGTTGGCCTCCAACTTACTGTAGAGTCAAGAATGACCTTGAACTTTATGTTGTTCTGTTTTGAGACAAGGTCTCTCTACAGAATCATGGCTGTCCTGGAACTTACGATGTAGACCAGGCTGGTCTCGAACTCAGAGATCTGCCTGCCTCTGCCCTCCGAGCGCTGGGATTAAAAGCAGGCAGCACCACACCCTGTTGACCTTGAACTTCTAATCATTTGGTTTTCACTCCCTGAATGCTGGGATTACAGGTGTGTGCCACCATGCCCTGCTGGGGACCTAATTCAGGGCTTCCTGCTTGCCAGGGAAATCCTCGGCCAAATGACCTTTGACTCTTGCTCTCCACGCTCACCCACTCCCACCTTGGCAGGTCTTCGCCTGAGTTTCTGCTTCCAGGTGGAGGGTGTGGGTTGGACCTTCACTAGAAAGCCCTTCAGGTTGGGAATCTTTGGTGCTCGGAAAGAGCCAGAAGGCACGTGGGAGGGCAAGATTTTGAGACTGAAAGGGGTAACAGAAGTCAATTATTGCCAGACAAGGCGACTCGCCCCCTAAGCCCCACAGTTAGGAGGTAGATGCAGTTGGATTTCTGTGAGTTTGAGGCTAGCCTGGTCTACAAAGCGAGTGTCCTATGCCTATAATTCCAGAATTTAGGAGGTGGAGGCAGGAGAATCAGGAGTTCAAAGCTAGCCTTGGCTGTAAGCGTACAGTCTTGGCTGTACAGTCTGGGCTACATGAGATCCTGCCATAAAACAACCCGAAAGCAGAGCACTGCAGCAGGTATCGGTAACCGAAGCTGAGGAGTCACAGAGACGGTCTCAAAATAAAAGGACACAGGTCGAGAGCCCCTAGAGGTGGGCACAATAGTAGCACCCTGGAATCCCAGCACTCGGGAGGCAGAGGCAGGAGGATTGCTAAAAGTCCAAGGGCAGTCAGAGATAAATATTAAGACCAGGTCTTAGAGAAAGATTGCTGGCCGGGCGGGGGTGGCGCACGCCTTTAATCCCAGCACTCGGGAGGCAGAGGCAGGTGGATCTGTGTGAGTTCAAGACTAGCCTGGGCTACAGAGCGAGTTCCAGGACAGCCGGGGCTGCACAGAGAAACCCTGTCTGGAAAAACAACAACAACAAAAGATGACTCAGCTGGCCGGGACACTTGCTGATCCGGCGGAGGACATGGGTTCCGTCCAGCACTAACATCACATCTCACAGGCACCTCTAACTCCATCCAGAGTCTCCAGCATCTCCTCTGGCCTCCCCAGCACCTGCCTGCACACAGCACAAATAAGCTCACACAGAGACACACAACATAATTAAATCTTCAAAAAAATTAAATAAAGTCATTAGAGATTAAGAAATTCATGTCCTGCCTTCAGCTTAATTGAGGTCCAGGGCTGTCTGTCCCCAAGACTTCACAGGATGTCTGAGATAGAGGTTAGGTGACAAGGACAGCCTGCCAGATACTAGACCGTCCTGGGCAAAATCATCCATTTGAAAACTTCACTGCTTGTCCTGGCTCCACTCACAGCCGCCATTATTACTATATTGTTGGTTTTTAAGACAGGGTTTCCTTGTGTAGGCTTGGCTGTCCTGGAACTTGCTCTGTATATCAGGCTGGCCTCGAACTGACAGAGAGCTGGGATTAAAGGCGTGCATCAACACTGACCCCAGCATTCAGTCATTATTGAGGACAAAGACTTAAGAGAATTTGGTCTCTGTCACCGGTCTGCTTTGCCTCCTGGGCCCCTCTCTCAGTATCCACCCGCTGACCCACCCCATCCCTTCCCCCACCCGCCCAGCTCCCAGCCTCTTGCCATGTGGACAATCTCACCATGGCTTCCTACTGCCCTTGAACACAATATCCAGACAGCCCTCTTCTGGAATGCAGTTCCTACGAAGGCACGGCTAGGGCTGTCCCCACAGAAGACACTCTCTGCAAGTTAAAGGCTAGCCTGGGCTACATAATAAGACGAGCCTGATGCTTTCAAGTGTCAAAAGCCAAAAATCAGTACTTCAGCTGAATTGGTGGACATCTGGCAGGGCTGTTTAGGGCCCCAGGGCAAAACAGAAGCCTGCTCAACTTCTATTCATAAAACATTTTTGGTACAGTTGTTTCACATATCTCAGGCTGGCCTCAAACTCTGTATAGCCCAGGATGACCCTTATCCTGCCTCCATCATGCTGAGATTACAGGCTAGACACAGGCTTTTTTTTCAGACAAGGTTTTTCTGTGTAGCTCTGGATATCCTAGAACTTACTCTGGCCAGGCGGTAGTGGCGCACGCCTTTAATCCCAGCACTCGGGAGGCAGAGACAGGCGGATCTCTGTGAGTTTGAGGCCAGCCTGGTCTCCAAAGCGAGTTCCAGGAGAGGCGCAAAGCTACACAGAGAAACCCTGTCTCGAAAAAACCAAAAAAAAAAAAAAAAAAAGAACTTACTCTGTAGACCAGGCTGGCTTCGAACTCACAGAGATCTGCTTGCCTGTGCCTCCCCGAGTGCTGGGATTAAAGGTGTGCGCCAGCACTGTCAACAGGACTGATTTTTGCAGACTAAGGATGGAATCCGGCACCCCACCAGGCAAGCACGGCACCAACCGAGCCACAGCTACAGCCCATGGAGTGTCTCCGCAAACCCTTTTCCCCTGGGCTGTCTGGGTTCTGGTTACATCAGCCCCTCCCCCACAGACGGGCTCTGTACTCGTGTCCAGAACTGGGCCTAGCGTGGAGTGGGCACCAGTCATCGAGTGTTTATTGAATACATGTATTACTGAATAGGAAGAGGCTTTGAGTCCAGTGTAATACGGCAGAGGGTAGCAGGTGGCCAAGAGGAGGGTCTGACAGAACGCTGGGGCCTCACCGAGGAGGCTGAGTTCTGCTCTGCCCTCTTCCACAGTCACCCTTGACCCTCCAACCCCACTGTTCCCATTCTGCAGATGAGAAAACCAAGGCTCAGCAAGCAGAACCACAGGTTGGGGTCAAGTCCCCAGCTCCCTGGCACACCTGCAGGCCAAGGGCCGGGAAGCAAAACCCCAGGTCGGCCAGGGAGGGGTTCGGGGGCCAGAGGGACTCTCCTATTATTTATTGGGTAACAGGCTGCAGATGAGGAGCTGACAGAAGGGGGGGGGCAATAACTTAAAAACCGGAGTGACAGCGGCAGCTCCCCGAGAGACCTCTGCAGAGGGACAGGAGTATATACAGGGATTTGTACAAAGTGCCCCGCGCCAGCCTGGGGCAGGGAGGGGGTTCGAGCATAAGGGGAGGGAGGGGAAAGTTCTGCCTGTGACCCCCCCACTCCCTGCACCCCCAAGTTCTGTCTCCAGTCATTATGCCTGGCAGGTCTCCCCAAATGGGAGAATTTCCTCAGTTTCCCTTTTCACTCCTGTCCCCAAAGTCTCCTCAGGCTCCCTGCAGCAGAGCAAGGTGGGGGGCACTAGAGGCCCCAGGAGGGTACCAGCTCCCCCTGCCGAGCCTTATTTTATCATGTCATGTGTCCCCACGATAGCCAAGAGGACTGTCTCTGTCCACCGATCTAATCCAGGGAAACTGAGGTCAAGATACGGGGCTCCCCCTCTTCTGTCCCCTTCCCCTCTTGGGGAAGTGAAAGGTCCCAGAGAAAGAGGAAGGGACCCAGGCTGTGATGGCGGCTGTGGTGGCGGTGGTGGTGGCTCAGAGTTCAAGGTCATTGGAGATGCGGGTGACGAGGGTGCGGAAGGCCAGGGCGGTGCCCGCCACTCGGCGGAAGAGGACGCCCCTGAGACCGGGCCGGGGCAGCTGGCACACCTCTACTTCGAAATGGGACAGGGGCTCGGGCCCGCCCGCACCCCCGTGCAGGCAGGCCAGCAGGAACGGCTGCGGCTGACGGCACCGGCAGCGAGCAGCTGCGGTGGCTTGTCTCAGGGCAGCCATCAGGGCCTCAGGAGGACGAGAGCTGGTCAGCTTCACACTCCAGGGGAATCGGAGCAGCCGGGGGGGCGGTTTCCGCTTTATCCCAAGGTAGATTGCAACTGAGGAGGGGACAGGAGGGGTCAGACAGGGCAGAGGAGGGGTCATGCATTCCCACCCCTACATGCACAGGGACACAAAAGTGCCACTGAAGATTGTACTTCCCAGCCTCTCTTGCAGCTAGGTGCACACACTGAAGATTGCATTTCCCAGCCTCCCTTGCAGCTAGGTGCACATACACCCCACATCTGTGGGCTAAGAGGGTAAAACTCCTATCATTTCCTTCACAGGACTAGGTGGGCCTGTAATCCATGTCAGCAACAACATGGGTGAAAAGAAAGCTGGCCTCTAAGGGACAGGGTTGTAAGAAATGGATTCAGATGACAAGTGACCCAGTTACCCTAGCTGTGTCCCACGTTTTG